TATTACATTTAATATTTTAATAAATTTTACTAATAAATGCTTTTGATAATAAATATAAAAAACAATTTGCATTCAATTCTTTAACGCTATCTATTCATTTAAAAATATTATTAAAAATTAAACATCTTATTATTCATCCAACAATGAATGTAATCTTATTAGGTATTCTTTACTTCTCTTTTTTACGTGTTTTTAGGAAAGCCATTTTTTTTTCTTTGAAAAACAGTTTTGAGTTAAATCTTTAATACGAGTATATTTTTGATATTATTACAAACTACTACTATTTTAAGATATAATATACCAACTAGAGGTGGTGCGACAATAATATATAAAGTCTTAATTGCTTTCATCATATCATTGGTCCTTATTTTATAGTTACAAAATGTTTCATTTCTGATATAGCATCCTATACATGTAAATAACTCAAGGCTTCAATATATTTGCATAATTATTTCTTCTAAAGATTTTTAGTGTTTTTGGTTTATAAATTTATATAACATAATAAATTCTAAGAGTTTACGTAGTGAGTGTCATGGTTATGACTGCAAATTAACCAGCATCTATATTTGTGTGGCTATTATTACTCCAGCTGCTGAGAGCATTTGATGTATAATTTATACGAGGAATAATGGTCAACTGTCAAATCATTTATATATGATGATTTTTATTTTTAAATTTTAACATAAATGAATTAAAAGATAAATTCCGTTGTTGTTCTCTTTTCATAAACCATTAATACTTAATTTTGTTTACGTTGATCTTTCGTCGATTCTCCAGTGCTCAATAAAACTCTTTAGCGTAAAGAATGAGACCTTACAATACATGGGTCATTACATTAAGCCACACCGACCATACCTAAATATATTATTTTAAATTACTTTTTTAATTTCTCTTTTTATAATTATATATTATTTTATAGAATATATATATAGTATGTCTATTATAAATTTAATATTCTTCTGCGCCATTCTTGTAGTGTGTTAATAGTAATAGAATTCTTGCAATTTTATTTCTTTTATTTCATATCAAAATAATAATATATCTTTTTTGTTATTCAATTTCTTATGATAATATATAATAATGAAATAAACATTTTACAAATAATACAAAAATAAAAAACAATTTGATACATATCATTTATCCCCAATCTATTTGGTTTAGTTCGTATTCTTTTTGGATAACGATTCTGACTTGTCTCTTTTTCCTCCCTCTCCTTTAGATTCATTTCATCGTTATGATTTATTATGTCCTCTTTTTACTCTCTCTTCGGTTCTCTCTTCTACTTAGGGTCTCTCTTTTAATTCGAATTCTTCAGCTAATATATTTTCGGTCTTAATTGATCAGTATGACGTATAATTGTTTTACTCTTTATATTTCATATCGTAGTGATCCGAGTATGCCTTTTTAATGACCTTTTTCTGTTTTTTTTCTTTATTATTGTAAATGCGCGACACATTTTGTCATTTATCTCGAATTTTGAGTGTAGTATTCTAACTTCTCCTTTTTGTTTCGCCGTTCGAATATTTGGTCTAACAATTCTCTAGGTTATTTTTGGTAGTATTTCAGCGGAACTTTGTTAAGTTTCTACCCCTGGTTTATATCGGTAATTGTAGAGAAAAATAGCAAGACTGGTTTCTAAATCCCCACCGTTTCTTTTATTCATGCTCTGTTTAAAAGTTTGATTGTATAAGGATGGTAAGGACTTCCTTGAAATATTTGTAATCCGTTTTTTTTCGCAAAAATCATTGAATTCTTTGCTGAAAAAGTTTTCGTTCATGAATCAACCAATTTTACGCATAAGAACCCATGTCTCGATCGATTCAAACTCATTATAGGCCTTCATGCAGTTGGATTACAGGCGTAGACCACAACGATAGAAATGATAACATATAACATTTCTAATTTTTTTAATTTATCTAATGCATTGTATAATTTTTAGACATTTTAAAGTATCCTGTAAATATACAGGTCATGTCTTAAGAGACTTTTAGACCAGAGGTGGACTGGTTATTTAAAAACATATCGCACCATTTATGAAAATTTTCAGGCTATTGATGAAGTATTATTTTACTTTTCCAATAGAACTTTTAATGCTGAGGTTTCCACTCATGATTCAGTCGAAGCCTCTGGTCTTTTATCTCAATGCGTCAATATAAATTATATTAGCCATTATAATTTATTAACAATAGATTCACTTAATAAATATCTACAGTCAGTAGGTACTTATCTAGTGGATGCTAAAAGTTGTATTGATTCAACTATCAATATATTAAAAAAGAAGCGATAATTCTTTTGATTTGATTAGAATTAAAGCTGAAAAACTTTTAGCAAAATTTAATCTCACCCCACAAATCATCAAGGGTGCATAAAACGCCTATAAATTTTCAAAATTTTTTAGTCGAAACCAAATTATAATTATATTATGAAAAAGATTCCAATTGGAGTTCTTTAAAAAGGAATTATTATAAAATTATTGATTACTTTGTTTGTGTTGATCGTTTTTTAGATAGATTTACACAAGATGACTGTAATCTTCTATTATGTTTTAATACATTGTACCCCTTTTACCCTGATTATTTTATATCAGATAACATATCCCGATTAGAATCATTATTAAACTTAAATATGGAAACGTTACATCATGAAATGAAATCGCTAAAGGATTATTAGTTGCAGAAGTTAAATAAACAGATAATTTTGAAAATATCCTAAATATTATATATAAAAAAAATATCATCATGCATTTAAAGAATTGTAATGCTACTCAGCAGCATCATCATCATAGGATACCAACGGCTACTTGTGTGGCCTCTTTCTCTACAATAAAGAGAGTTCTATCGAGCACTAGAGAGTCGAAGAAAGATCAACGTAAGCTAATTTAGTATTGATGGCTTATGAAAAAAAAATAACATAAAATTTATCCTTTAATTCATTTATTTTAAAATTTAAAAATAAAAATCGTCGTATTATATTTTAGTATTATTTTGTATCATATTATATTAATAAATTTTTGTTAAAAATATAAAAAATTTATAGGAATGCTTAATTATTAGTTTTATTTTATAAAAATAGTGGCCCCTCAAGTAAGCAGGGCCCCCCTTGCTGAACATTTCTGGCTACGGTCCTGTTGATAATGATTCTAATGGGACCATTTTACCTGATAAAATAATCAGTCTAGGATGGGGGGAGGACAATATATTAAAACATGATAGAATAATATAATCATCTTGTGTAAATCCATCTAAAAATCGATCAACAAAATAATTAAAAATTTCATAATAATTCTTTTAGAATTCCAATTGGAACCTTTTTCACAATCAAATTGTAATTTGGTCTCGACTATAAAATCTTGAAAATTTGTAGGCGTTTTACGTACCTATGATAATTTTTGGGGGATAAGATTAAATTTTGTTAAAAGTTATTTACCATCCACTAGATTAGTGCCTACTGACTGTAGATACTTATTTAGTGTTTCTATTGTTATTAATATCTCCTAATGACGAATGTAACATAATTTATATTAACCCATTTAGAAAAGAGGCTTCAACTGAATTATGAGCTCTGAGTTAAAAGTTCTATTAGAAAAGTAAAATAATACTTCACCAATAGCTTCGCCTCAAGTTTTTCATAAATGATGCGAGATGTTTTTAAATGACCAGTCTACATCTGGTCTAAAAGTCTCTCAAGAGTATGACCTGTGTATTTAGATACGTTAAAATGTCTAAAAAAATTATACAATATAGATAAATTTAAAAAAATTAGAAATGATAACAATATAATAAATTTTGAACCACAAGATGCAGCTTGTGATTGTAAAAGGAACTTTATTATTAATATTTTTTTAAAGTAGGATTAGCACTCCTCTATTAGACATGAAGTTTGCACCATATATGCATGGCTTATTATATTCGTTGAATTAATATTTAACTCATTAATTTGCCTAGTAATGCTTTCAGTAGAAAGACTCTGTATATTATAATTCCTATTAAATTTTCTTGGATATATCCAGAAAAAATGTAGCGGATAATTATGCTCAGGCTTTTACAACCTGATGCATCTTTTGTCTCCTCAGTCTTAAAAAAAAGCACTCACGTTATATTTATCAGAGATATTTTAAGCACCATATCTGCCATAAGAGTATTACTTCGTTTTAAATCTGAAGTGATGCATATTGGGCATTTTTGGGTATTAATTTCATTATTTTATTTAATTCAGGATCGTTTTAGATGGTGATTTAAAACATAATTATAGATAGTCCAGGAGAATAAACGTGTTTTCATCTTTTGCAGTATCCATAATTTTTGTTGAACCAGTTCCACGAAAAGGTAGCTTCTATATGCGAAGATATAGCATCAAATCAAATATTGATCAAAGATAATAATGATTACGGTTAATTTTTTGCTTTAACAAAATTCTTGTTATCTTAGTATCCTTATTTATATTATTTATATCATGACAAATTATTATTGAATTTATATTAGCTTTTGAGTTTTCATGTTTTAACAGTCCATTTTGTTTTAAATTTGGGGAGCCGAAATTTTTTATGGGTTAAATACTTTTTCTGGGTTTTTTTGAGGCCCTGGTAATTTGTATATTTAATTATATGATTGATTATTGTAAAAAATAGATTAATAACTAATTATATAATATTATTCCATGCTCCTTTTTTTATCGCTTTATATATGTATTAAATTAATAAACTTTTGTTTATTATTCTATTGTATTATTATTAATTAAAACGTTCCTAATTATATTTTAATATATTTTCCCTATTCTTTTATTTAAAATATATACTATAATAAAAACTAAAACTAGATAGGAATCAGTAGTAATAAGATTATTAAAAAAATATTATTATTAAATATTAAGGAAATGAGGAACACCAACATGTGTGTTATCTCAAGTAAAAGTAGTCCATCGGTACTGAATATTGTCATACATATAGATATTTTTAATTTATGATTTTTGATGGCGTCTATCAATGTAAATAAAAAAAAATATTCGATATTTATGAAATTATTTATCAAATAAATGACTTCAATTGAAAGCTGGATAAATGATGAGCTATATGATATATTGGGTATCAGTGATAGGTAACCTTGAAGCAATTTTATATACTCATAATATAAATTTTTTTGTACAGAGTTATATCTAAATTTTTGCTTGATATGGCGAAATCAAGCTGTAATGCGTCAGAATTTATTGATAAGATTAAAGAGACTAATACAATTGACATAGATCATAATGTTGTTGACTTCGCGCAAACTTTAATCGATAAAGTATACTAATTTTTATTATATAAAACGTTAATAGAGTTATCAATAGTTGGCAACATTCAAAAAACAGAATAATTATAAGCCATCAATTAATGAAGATCATTACTCTATTAATATTCAATACCCATCCAACAAAATCTTGTTAGATCATTTTGACGATAATATAGATAATGATCATTTTGATATCCAGGGATCTCAAAAAGTTATATTTTTAATTTTTTAATTATTAATTTTTTATTAACATTGATAAATATGGATCATTTTTTGTTTTTAGAATATTTTTACATTTGACTAGTATATTTTATTTATATATAAATCAGAGGTATGCAAATGACAGGCCCATCGTGGCCTGGTTGGAATTTAGTTCTTGCCTGGCCAAGCCTGTCCAAATTTATACCAGATCCAGTTCCAATTTTTTTTCCTAAGGTTACCTGGCCTAGCTGGACTTTCTTATTAAAGTAATAAACACAAAATATAGGATAAGGAAATCATATTTAAGAACAAATAATCAGCAGTAGATCATCTAATCCTTAAATTTTTAAGCAAATATGAATTATTTAACAAAATAATATTCTTTAGAATCTATTAAGTACTCCAGGCATTTCTACTTTTTGCCCACTTAGCCCTTTATTTTTTTTTGCCTAGCACATCCCAAATAATTTTCTTTAGATGTTACCCAGACCATTGGTAATCTAATATATTTTCACATTTTTTAAATAAATTTATTTGCATTTACTAACACAGAAAAAATTTAAATCTCTAGAAGATAATGTTACAGCTAGGCAAAAGATTTATAGAAAATGGACACAAGAAAATGAAGATATGGAAGAAGAAAAAGATTTGACTCAAAATTTGTCTGAAGATATTGATAAAAGTGATTTAGACACAGATGATGATGTATTATCTAATATAGAGTAATCTTGAATATATAAAAAAACTATTAATCAAAATTGAGATCAATTATCTTTCTTTTAATAACATATGGGCTAGACTATTTTTTTTTATCCAAGTAATTATATTTGCTATGTTAATTAGTGCTTTAAATCATGAGAAACCACTTAGTATTCCCATTTATTAGATATTAATAGCAATTTTATATTATCAGTTAATAATTTGAATTTTATAATGTCTCCTTGATAGTGTTATAGAATTCTGGGTTTATTTGTTTTTCAATAATTTATTTCAAATAGATATGCACAGTTATTGGGAGAATTTAGATTACATTGAAAAACCATATATTTGCATAAAATTTCCTTAAAGTTGATGTGATGACAACAGTTTGAAATGCATTATTTGAAAACAAATAAATGTAATACAAAAAAACTTAATTTGTATTTATATGTAAATAATTTAAGAAATGAATCAAAAGGAATTGTCTGATGGAAGTGAAAGCAATATAGATATTGAATTATCCCAATTGGACGAAGCTGAAGCAGAAAGGATAAAGGATATCAAAGAAAGGGATGCTTTTGTCAAACGTTTAAAACAGAGGGACATTAAAAAAAGAGAAGAAAAGGTTTAATATCATTGCCCATCATGGAATAATTAAATATATTTATTTTACCCATAATTTTTAATGAAATATTTTATTATAAATTTTACACAATATTTTAATGTGTCATTTGTGCCAAATAACTTATTGAATCTCAAAAAATTGATTTAAGATTTTACCTTTTTTATTGGCTAAAAATTATTTCTTTGTTATTGTTTACCATGATTTTGAGATGACACATAATTAAATATATTCAATAAAATGATTTATTTTATTTTTTTATATGGAATATTGGCTGGATATTAAAAAAAGTATTGATCAATGAATACTAGTTCTAACTGTCAACATTATATTTTTCGTAATTAAATAAAATGCATGAGGACTTGTTTAAAATGACGATTCGTTATTTTAGTATTATAATTTGAAAATAAATTAAATTGTATATTATAATTAATAATTATCTAACCTCCATTTTTTAAAAAAATTTCTTTTTATCAATTCAACTTTTTATAAATAAAGAAAGGGGAAAAATGAGGATTCGGGAAAACTGTGAATTTAAACTATAATTATTTTTACTAACATAATTAAAATTTAAAAGAGAAAATCTAAGCAAAAAAAGGAAGGAGAAGAGTCAATAGAAGAAAAAAAGACCAAGCTCCCCAAATTGAGAATCGAATCGAGGAGGAAATACCTAGAGAAAAGGGAAAAAGAGAAAGTACTGGAGCTCGAGGCTGACCTCGTGGATGAACAGTATTTGTTCGATGAAACAGAGTAATAAAAATAATACTTGAGCATTGTTTTACTGGTAATAGGAAAGGGGAAAAGATGAGTGAAAGGAATACAGAAAAGAGAAATTTACTGGGATATTATATAATAAATTAGATAATTCCACAATATTCATATTTTGTATAATCCAAGATTGACTCTTAAAGAAAAACTGGACATTCAATATAAGAAAAAGGTACTTAAAATAGCCAAAGATTACCAAGAAGCGGATCAGGTAGAAAAGATACAACGTTACTACATTCCACAAGGGAAGGATGAACCCTCTTCCAAAAAAGTAATTTAATAAAAAATTAAAATTGTGATAAAATTTAAACATTTTTTATTCATATTTATACCAAAATAACACTTCAACTTAAAAATTTAAAAATTCAAAATTATTTATACTACCTAATTTAACATAAGCAAATTGCTCATATAAATTTAAGCCATATAATTTGAAATTTATAAACATTTTAAAATATAACAGAAGTATAGTACATATTTCATATATATATTATAAAAGGTCCTCCCTAAATACAAACCAGAAGAAGATTTAACTTTAGAAGGAACCGGGAAAGAAAAAGATAAACGCACCACTCCTTTCGGAGTAACTGATCAAAATATATGGGAAAAGTCTCAAATGGAAGCTACCCAGCTCAAGTTTGGGGCTAGAAATGCCCTCGAACATTACAGAAAAGTATTACCTTTCATCACTTTTATTAAATTGAATTTAATAAATATATTTTTATTGATGTAAAGTGATACCATTGTATTCATCCACCCTAATCCTAGAGAGTAGTAATGACCAAAGTCCAAATGTTTTTGATTTTGCATTGTTTACTTAATCAGGCATGATGCAAGAACTGGCCTTGATCTCTTAAAGTTTAATTTAATAGTCACGATTTAATATGACATTTTATGAGAATTAAATCCCCACTACCTTAAAATGTTTTTAAAGTATGAATGAGCTGATTTACCTTTAATTATTCATCATTTACTTCTTTTTTCATCTTCCGATTTTCATCAAATTCTTGTAATAACAAACTCAAATTTATTTATATTTAAATCTGAGCGAAATAATTTATGATATATAAATTTGCTGTGATCCCACTTCCAGAGTCATCCTCAAAATTACGATATTATAGTTCCAGAGGAAGAAATGAATTTCGTCAGGGGGCTTGAGTTGCCTGGTACCAGACCTCGACCTCCCAAAGACCTTACGGGGGATAAAATATCCCAAGCAAAACCTGAAATTCAGATTTCCAAGAAAGAAAATATCAGAGAGACCCGCAAAAGCTTACCGATTTATTCCTATAGGCAAGAGTTGCTAGATGCCATTGAACAACACCAAATTCTCATTGTGGAAGGGGAGACTGGTAGTGGAAAAACTACACAAATACCCCAATATTTATATGAAGCTGTTAGTTTATTTTTATATTTTATTTTTATAACAAAAAATTTGTTGTTCTAAGTAATACCTATCAATAATTGATTGAGTGTAAATTTTCATTGATTTACTTTCAATGTAAAACAAAATTTGATTATGATAAATCTAATTTAAAAAGAATAAAAAAAATTATAAGCTCATGCTTATAAACTTATACTTTTTAAGTAAAATCCGGCTATCAATAATATTTTATACCTAATAATAGTCTAGTTATTATTTTTACTGGAAAAAATATTTTAAAGGGCTACACTTCAAACGATACAAAAGTTATAGGATGTACCCAACCTAGGCGAGTGGCAGCTATGAGTGTAGCAGCTCGGGTAGCTAAAGAAACATCTTTTAGGCTTGGTAACAAAGTGGGTTACAGTATAAGGTTTGAGGACTGCACAACGCCAGGCACTACCATCATTAAATATATGACAGACGGGATTTTGCTAAGGGAATTTCTCAATACTCCCGATTTAAGCGAATATAAGTTATAATTAGAAGATAAATATTTTGCTAATCTTTGAAGGGAGAAAAAAGCCACAAAACATTTTTTTCATTAATCAATCAATCTTTTTTTGTTATTAGCGTTTTGATAATAGACGAAGCTCACGAGAGAACCCTTCATACCGACATACTATTTGGGCTAGTCAAAGACGTCGCCCGCTTTCGGCCCGATCTCAAACTCTTAATATCCAGTGCCACATTGGACGCCCAAAAATTTTCTCAGGTTTTTTCGTTAATTGTAGTTACAAATTCGGTTGCGTTGCTAGCTTTTTTCATTTAAGCCTGAACATCAATTTTATATAATTAAAAAAAATAATGAAAGTTACATGATCTCTAGATTTAGGTCCCTTATCATGGTTTTTAATAGAGTAATAAATATTCACTTTATTCTATCTTTACTTCTGTCAATCAAACTCATCTTGAGATTTCACAAATTAATTTACAGTCACACTTTATTGAAAGAAAAAATTAATGAAGAAACGATTGTAAATATAATAAACCATACTAAAAAATCTAAGTTTTTCGACGATGCCCCCATTTTCCGTATTCCTGGAAGGCGTTATCCAGTAGATATTTATTATACTAAAGCCCCAGAGGCGGATTATCTGGAAGCTTGCGTTATAACTGCTCTACAAATTCACGTGACCCAACCCGTGCCAGGAGATATATTGGTTTTCTTGTCTGGTCAGGAAGAGATAGAGGTGGTCCAGGAAATCTTGATAGTAAAAGCATCTTAGATATATATTTTTTCTTTGTAAAATATGTTACCCTGAAAATTAGAGTTCTAATTTTCGGAAATTGTAAAATAACCATCTTTTAATATAGATATTATTTTCTTAACCAAGTATATATGGATAAAAAATCGGGGATTTATAAATTATAATATGTTAGTTAGATTTGCTAAATATTTATGAGTTTTTTGAAATTTTTGGGAAAATCAAACCCCAATACATAATTAAAAAAAGGAGTTTACAAATGATATAATTTCAAATGAAATACTATTATTATTTAAAACAGTATTGCAGATTAGTATTCTCCCTATTTATTTAATTGTATAAATATAATACTTTATTAAAAAGAATATAAAATCATTTACTATTTTTATTATATTATAAATCATCTACATTTATTATTTTTACAGGAAAAATGCCGAAAACTAGGATCCAAAATCAACGAATTAATTATACTTCCCATCTATTCCAACTTACCATCCGAAATGCAAGCTAAAATATTCGAACCTACTCCACCTCACGCTAGAAAAGTGCAATATAAATAAATATAATATATGCAAGTTTTTAAATGAGTTTTAATCCGCCAAAAAATATCTGACCAGTTTTAAATTTTCGGATAGGAAGATTTGCTTCTATCGGCGTTTAAATTAATATTATAGTTTGTAATTTTTCTACCATAAGATATATTATTCTTTAAACAAGGTCATATTAGCTACCAATATAGCAGAGACATCTCTAACTATAGATGGCGTTATATACGTAATAGATCCAGGATTTTGTAAACAGAAATCTTACAACGCCAGATCCGGTTTAGAATCATTGGTTGTGATACCTATATCAAAAGTTAAATCTTTCTCAAAAAAATTGCCTAAAAGTTTAAGGTCACGTAACTTAAATAATTATAATATTGAGATCACAATTGGATGGTATGGAATGGAATTCAGTGATTTAATTTATTGTATTTGTTTATTCTATCTTTCTATCGTGAATATTTTATAATGCTAGTAAAAAAAAATATATTTTTATTTGTGCTCGTTTTGAATTAAATAATTGACTGCCAATTAGTTTGGTTTTCAAAGATTGTTACTAATATTCTCAAATTTTTTATTTACAAAGGCTTCGGCTAATCAAAGGGCTGGTAGAGCTGGGCGCGTTGCGGCTGGCAAATGCTTCAGACTCTACACATCTTGGGCTTATAATAACGAACTCCCTGATGATTCTATTCCTGAGGTTTTTTTTATAGTAAAATCTTATTTTTTTTTATTTCAACTATATTCTTTAATTTATTTGTAAAAATAACTTTAGTGTTTAATAATCCTATTCACAATGTGCGAATCGAATAGCTCATTATTCATATTCATACAAATTATGATATTTACTATTTTTATTCAATTCTAATTATTCGAAGAATTTTTTTTTATAAATTGTTTCAAACTAAAATATATTGACAGAATTTTATAATTATTAGCATGTTATTTAGTTTAAAAATTCTATTCAATAAAATGGGCTGTTAACTAAAAAGGTAATTTGAGTGATTCAATTACAAATGAAAAATTTACCTAACATCTGATTTTTAAATATTATTTTATTTACCAACTGTTCCATTTTTTGCAAATGAGTATATTGACTTTATTGATGAATCAGGATAATGTTATTTAGTATTTATATTTATAAAGAGTTAGTTATCTTTAAAATAATTATTTTTTGACCAATCCATTACATCTTTTTAGAAATGAAATTATTAAATAATTGTTTATTTATATTCGAATAATTTACTATTCTTATTCGTTACTGTCTTTTTTGAATAGGCTTAGTGTTTTATAAAGTAAATTAATTCTTAGCGTTATATTTTTTTAGAGAGTAAAGGATAAATTAAAAAAGTTGATTTCTATATGTATTTAAATCATTTACATTACATCGAAATATATAATAATATAATAAAATTCTAATATATTTTATTTTAATATGTAAATATTTCTTTAAAAATTTTAGGCAACATTACAGTATAAGAATATTATTTTATTCGAAATTTTAAATACATAAGATCCAAAGAACGAACTTAGGTAACGTAGTTCTCCTCCTTAAATCCTTGGGCATCGACGATCTTTTACGATTTGATTTCATGGACCCACCACCCCAAGAGTCTCTCGTTTCAGCCCTGGAGCAACTATACGCCTTAGGGGCTGTTAACCATCTCGGACAATTAACAACCACAGGTAGAAAAATGGCCGAGTTTCCAGTGCACCCCATGATGTCTAAAATGATATTGGCTTCTCAGAAGTATTATCATTGTTGTTAATTAGCACTTACACTTTATTTATATGTTGACATGAGTTAATACAATTTACATTTTCCCCCTTTTTCTTTATTACCAATCAAATATAAATTTGGTAAAGAAGCCACATATTTATAAAAGAAATAATATAAAAATAAATGTTTTTGAAATCTTTAAGAGACCTGCAAGCTTGTAACAAAGTGCTCTTGGGTATCTGGTCTATTTCGCGGAATTGTATGATTTAATAATCATAAAAGATAATTAGAAATTCAGGCTGAATTTTTAACCATTGAAAAAATAAGATGATCAAATATTTAGATATTCTATTAAAACATCTGTAAAATTTTTTTGAATGATAAAAATTTAAAACCCAGATTGGGCCATAAATGATTAAATTTTTAAAAAAGGCTAAATTGCCGGGACTAAAATTGGGGATCTCTGATTTATATTTTTTTGTTATAAGTTATAAAAAATGATGTTGATGGCACACTTTCATAATTATAATTTGTAATTTAAATTATATATAATAAATATCAGAGACCTGCAGAGGTATCATTTGTACGGCCCGGCCCGGATATTTAAAAAAAAAAATTTTTGGAGCCCGGCCCTGCCTGGATTTTTTAAAAAAAAATTTTTTAGGCCCGGCTCGGAATTTTTTAAACAAAAAATTGATTATTTTGTATTTTATCATATTTTTCGGCGAGTATTATCATTTAATAAGCAAGTATATTAGCTAATGTTGTTAAACGGCTCGTTTTGAGCCGATTTTTAAAAACTGCTAACTCAATATTTTCGCCAGAGAAATATTGACTAAGCCTCGAAATTTCGATACTATATGTCTAGACTTTTGCTCCTTCTATGAGCAAAATTTTCAGGCTTGCATAATATTTTTCAGCATAAAAAATTGAGTTAGCCGTTTTTAAAAATCGGCTCAAAACGAGCCGTTTAACAATTTTTTTTATTTTTATTCTAAACAGATATTTAGTATATTACAAATTGATACTATAAAAAATTTGTGTAAATAATATTTTAAAAATATACTATGTATTTATAAAAAAAAATAAAAATAATATTTTATTTAATAAAAAATATAACATACATTATATAATAATGTATTTAATCCTTTGCGTATTTATTCCACGGCAGGAAAACTATAATTTTATTATGTAAGAGATACTATGAGTGTTAGCTAGTGTTAACTTTCACCAAACATTATATCAATCATAATTATATATAATCATTATAATTATATCTAATTGACGAATTTAATAATTCATGTTGTATTAATTTTTTAAAAAAATATGGCCTGGCCCGGGTATTTAAAAAAAAAATTTTTTTTCAGGCCTGGCCCAGGTATATTTTAAAAATTTAAAATACGGCCCGGCCAGGCTTAGGGCTGGGCCTGCAGGTCTCTGATAAATATAATACATATTATATCCCCTATCTAAATTTTGTATAATAAATAAGGTTGATAAAGTAACTTACTATACTATCCTCCTTATCTCTATTCTCTAAATAATCCACTTATTTTTTTTGCCTAAACGAATTTTGAGAATTTTATTTATTTAAAAGTTGAAACTATTTTTTTCTTGTACAGAGGGAATTTTATACGAAATAATAAAAATTAGCTTTGTGCTTTTTAATTAATTCGTAGGAACTAGCTCTATTTTTGAATTTAGGAGCGTGAATTAAGTCCTCCTTTTAAGAAGTCAGCGTCTACATGACAGAGTTTTCACTGGATGCAAATTCCCCTCAAAAATCTAAGCCTACCCACCTAAAAAAAATTAACATCTTCGGCGGCAATGTTTCCCTATTATTAATTACATCTTTTTAAATTTCTAACTTAAATTATTTTATCTCTTCTACCAACTATCTAAATTTTGTGAATATAAGGAGATCTTTTTTAGATAATGAATTCAATTAAAACCCTTTCATAATGCATTGTTATAGCATTATGAGTTATGAGATTGCTGAAAATGTCAATTTAAAAGGATGCAGAAAGATTTATTTTGAAAATAATCTATGATTATTTGCAATATAAATAATTTTTGTTCTATTTCATCTCAAAATTTAATAGATAACCCCCCAAAAATTAATCCCACCCCATCAAAGGCGCCTACCCCCTACCCTCTCAAGAAAAAAATGGATGCAAACTGTTCCTACCCCTCCCGCTTAGACGCTGTAAGAAGTGTAAAAACTGTATGGTATATAGAGATTTAATAGGAAAATAGAAGATAAGCAAAAAAAATAAAGTGGATGGGTTATTTCTTAATTTAAATATTTAGCTTTTCTCACAAGCTCTATGATATCTAAAATGATATAGACACTTATTAAATGTGAACCTAGAGAGATATTTTCGGTAAATGTTTAGAATAAGTAAGTGCATAAATAAAAACTTGAAAACTATGCAATTGATAGGACAGTTGGTTTCATTTACCTCCACTATATTCCAATTCCCTCTCCCCCTATCTATGGGTGTTGGGAAGTGACACAAAAGTTGAATAATATAAAGTAATTAATCTTTTAACTAGCTACTAATAACAATATAAGACGGTTCAAATTTATTTTATAAGCAAGAGAGGAATAAAATTTTTGGTATTTTTTTTGTTCATTAAAAAGATACAATTGCGTTGCCGCCATAATAACGATAGCTTCCATGGTTTCCTTAAACAACTCCATTTTCTATAGACCCAAAGACAAAATTTTATTTGCCGATGCAGCCCGCAAAAACTTTTTCTGCCCTCACGGTGACCATTTAACTCTTATGAGGGTTTACAATGAAGTAAAATTCTTTTATTTGGGTTATTACTGTATGGAAATCTTTTTTATTTTAAGCTAAATTATATTTTTGCAAAGTACACATATTTTTTTCCAATATCAATCAACGATTATTATATCAAATTAATAGAAAATATATTATTTTTAAATATTATGAAAAATCGGATTTTTTATACCACTATTAAGAAGTGACTTATTTATTTGTTAAAATTCATATATTTTTTAAAAACCTAAAATAATTTCTTACACCATAATACATTTTTTTATATTGCTGATCGCAATCTGGTATGGGGGTCAACATCTCAAAATGTTGATGATTTCACATCATTAATCTTGTTCACCCCAGACCTGGATTGCAATGGAAATTAGCACAACCTCCTGATAAAATTGGTGGCATCTACTCCTTCCTCCCTTCCCGTCTCATAAACAATTTGCTATTATCGCCTAATTTCTCCTAATGATAATAGACTATATCAGGCAAGCGAAAAAATAGAGACTAAATTTTTTGGGGGGCCAAAAATAATTTATTATAATAATTTTTGTTGCAGGGTTAAGAATTAATTATATTCGCTCTCGCTAAAATATAAGTAAACACTTTCAAGGGATATTAAGGGTATTTTTGAATAGAGAATTAGAGAAGCTAAATACCTACCCATCCTTCTAAGTTCGAAGGTATAATATTTACCAGTGTAGAAATTAACTCCTAAATTTATATATATATATGAACTTTAAATAAAACCTAAACTTAGTGGGCAGAAACCGATTTTTCTACACAATGGTGTTACGAAAACTTTATCCAATATCGTTGCATGAAACGCGCACGAGAAATCAGGGAACAATTACTTTATTTGGCAGAGAGGATAGAAATTTACATTCCACCACTCACTCAAAATAATCAAAATGATTCTCAAAAAAATATCGCCCAACATTTAGATGAATCTACCGATTATGACGACGTTGCTATCAGAAAAGTTATAATTATATATAAAATTTTTATGTAATTTTATTGGGATATACAATATGTCACGTCACATGATAAATTACCATTTTAATACAATTTAATGTTTTTTATTATTGCTTTTATTAAACTCAAGTAAATTTGGTTATGTGATGCTTCCACATTTATTATGCTGCTTTATAATCCTGTTATATTTTCAATGTAAACACTGGGTCAACTCGTGGTGTTAATTATAAAGTTGGGACCCCATCCAATTCTATTTTTTTGTAAAAGTTTAAATTTTATTTTTATATAGATTATGTTCTAAATATTTCCTTAATTTTTCAAACCGGTTAAAAATGTTAAGGATTTTTTTTGAATATTTTCATTTTTAAAGACTAATCATTGCGCTGCATTGGTAAAAAAAAGATTTCTTTGAAAATCATGCATACCTTTTTTAAAGTGAATTAGTAAAATAATAGCTCTTTTTGTCCAAAAATGTTAATCGATTAAACTTTTGCTTGATATTGTAATTGAAATGAAAATATATGGCTAAATCCCCTCCTCATTAAAAAAGTATTTATGTGCACCTGCTAACCGAAATTTTTGATTTCAAACTACTATTTAACACTAACTGCTGTTATAAAGTAAATAAATTTAATTTAAACTCTGTCTGCTACATTTTGAAAAGTAATTACCAATCTGAAATTTTAAAAAATTCTCATTTAAATTTAGCAATTTTTCTAAAATAAACAATTCTTCAGGCAATAACTGCTGGCTATTTCTATCACACGGCTCGGTTTACAGAAAAAGGTAGTTATAAAACGACCATTAAATTCAACAATATAAACACTACCGGAGTCCTAATCCATCCTAATAGTTGTTTGTTTCAAACGAATCCTAAATGGATCATCTATTACGAGCTCGTTTTCACAACCAAAGAATACATGAGACAAGTTTGTATTGATTATGAAGATAATTAATTAATTAGTTCATAATAAATTTTATTTTACACATGTTGAGATAGCTTTTATCTTTTAGTTTATCAATAAAATTTGGACATAGATAAATTCATTATTGAGGTTAAAAACAGGGATGTGAACCCTTCGACAAAAAAAATGTCCGGGTTCGGGTCCGGTAATAAATTTAAAAAGGACCCGGGTCCAGGTTCAGAGGGAACATAAAAATAATGACTCAAAATAAGACATTTTTTCATTCATTTTTTATTTTACTTCAATATATACACATTTATAATCGAAATGAGATAATTTATATTTTAAATATTTTATTCAATCGCACAATCATGATATCTTCTAAAATATCATCCTACAGATTTCCACTTAAATTATACAAAATATATTTTAACGATAAAAATCCACGTTCTACCCTTACCTAAAATAGATATTCATTTTTATAATACATAAATTATTGTACTTGTATTCTAGACAAGGTATATAATTCTGGATATATTGAAGAATTTTCCTCCCAGAATTTTAAAATGTTTGCATCTCTATTTATTCTCTTAACTTCTAAGAACTTTTCTATCAAAGATACAATAGATATTTTTTGCTCCTTTCTATCAGATGATAATTTAATTTTTTTTCTCTATCTAATAGTAAAATTTCCAGATCATCAATATCGTTATCATTATCATTGTTATCGCTACAACCAGTAGATATTGTTGTAGCCTCCAATATATTGTAAATAATAGAGTTTTGGGTATGCCATAAATCTTCAAGATGGTCTATAGCCATTTGTTTTTTCTCACTACTTAATAAAACCTGATATCGCGGGTCTAAATAAATCGAAGTATATACAACACTATTTTGTAAATATTGTTGCTCTCTTATTTTCATATTTTCTAATACTTCATTTGAAAAAGAACTTGTTAATCTCCCTAACTCTAATCGACATCTTAACCATATGCCATAAAAATCCGATAACATAATTGTTTTGCTTGCAATCTTAATGTTGTTATTTTTAAAGGAACCAGCACACTAGTAAGCTCTTTTACTTGATTCCAATCATCTTCTGACAAAATGATTTCACATTCTCCTATGATAAAATCATTACAGAAATCTTTCAAAATTAATAATCGCTCTAGCATCATACATATAGAGGACCAACGTGTTGTGCAATCTAAAATTGCCATTTGCCTTTTCATGGATTTTAATATTTTAACAATTGTGGGAGTTCTTAAATATTTTACAACATCCCTTGCTTTATCAATTATAGTTTTAAAGTGACTATTTTTTAGGGAATCATTAATAGCCAATTGTAGGGTATGGGCTGCACATCTGATACAGTATTTTGTGGAGAAATCTTGTTATTTCCTGCAAATCAATTTCACTTATTTCCTCATAATTATCATCATCATCATCTATATCATCAATTTCTTCCAGTGAACATTCATTTAATAATTTGATTGATTTTACTAGATTGGAACCATTATCAGTAGTAATTGAATAAACGTTTCTTATAGGAATATGAAATTTATTTAATGTTTCTAATATCATTCTTTTTATATTTTCAGAAGTTAAACTCTCTTTAATCTCCTTCATAGCTAAATTTCTTAATATTATATTATTTTCTTTTATATACTGTATATTTATTCCTAGAATATTTTTCCCTAATCTTTGGGCGGAATCAATTTTTAATGAAATTAATTTGTTTTTTGTTTCTTTTATTATTTTTGCTTGTATTTTTTTCGATTCATTAACTACTAAGTCCTTAATTTTAAAACGGTTAATTGATGTTCCAATTGCCTTACTAATAGGATCAATAATTTTTTTAAAACCGGAATCCTCAATAATATTGAAAGGCCTTCCATTTATTGTAACAAGCTTAACTAAAGCATCATCAAATTCTCCTCAGACAATTGAATATGAATCCTTTTTTTAAAGCAAAATTTTTCAATATTATTTTCATCCTTCTTTACAATACTGACAGTAGACTTTGTAACAATGTCTTCTTCCAAAAATTTGGTTTTTCTATTTAAATATTCCTCAAAGATTATAGAATGATGCCTTAATCTTTCCAGATTAGTATTATGTGAACCTTTTATCATTAGGTGGCAGGTTTTGCACTCAGAATCCCCTTTAGTTGCATTATAGTACTCTAACAAAATATCTTTTAGTTTCATACTAAAAAAAACAAAATTTAATTTGTTTAAAACTTAAAAGTAGAGACACATAGAATGTATATATTTTTTAATCAGGCTACATCCAAAATCTTAAAAATATAAATAAATAAATTTTGAGGAAAAAAATTACATAATCTATTTTTAATGTAAAAATAAAATAGTGTCCAATTTCATGAAATTTTTATAAAAAATTAGTAAGTACAATTCTTCTTAATGCTGTTAATTTTATAAATTTACTACCCAAACGATTATAGCCTTTTATATTAACATATATTAGTGTCGGAAAATAATTTAATGGAAAAGTTAAGAATGCACAGGAACCTCTCGTGCAAAAATGACTTAAAAATTGGATATTCTATAGAAAATAGGAAAAACAAAACTTGAATTATGATCAAGTGATAAAGAAAATCTTAGCTGTAAAGGCTTAATTTATTAAATTATAATTTGGTAAAAATAAAAAATTATAATTTAATTTAAAAGGTGCTGGAAAATTATATAATTTCTATCACAATTTTATTTAAATAATAATTTTTTATATATTATGGAAAAATTATCTTTCAAAATAGATTATATTATTGGTTTTCCAACTATTTATTAAATATTGATATAATTATTTACAACATGTATTTATTAAATATATAAATAAAATCTAAACATAACTATTATCAATTATCAAATATGTTTATACAAAGTTAAATAACTGAAAGGTAACATAAAATAATAAATACAATTAAATATTTACATATCTTTATCAAGCATTTTGAATATTTTAATTTTTTTATAAAATTTAAATGTGTCCAAAGTGTTTTGTTATTAATTTGTGAAAATTTTAAGGATTTTTTCAAAACTTGGATGCAGCTCAAATAAAATAACTAATTTTTTTGATATGATGATTTGAATATATTTGATAATTTATAATAAAATTATATATTTGCAAAATACTGCCAATTTTGATTAATTTAAATTTACTGCTCAAAAAACATAACCTTAATATTTTAACACTGCAAAATAATCACTTAATAAAATTTTTATATAAGATATTAAAAAATTAGCTTTTAAAATTAAAATATTATTACTTGCAGTTAGTGTTGTTAAACGGCTCGAGTTGAGCCGATTTTTTAAAACGGCTAACTCAACATTATAGCCAAGAAAATATTGCCTAAGCGTCAAGATTTTATAGATGTTTAATCCTATGTACCATCTATGAGCAAAATCTTTAAGCTTACATAATATTTTTCTGTATTGAGTTAGCCATTTTTAAAAATCGGCTCAAATTGAGCCGTTTAACAACACTACTTGCCATACAAAATAATTCCAAATTTCACTTTCAAATCAAAATAGTCAAAGTATTTCTAATAAGAGTAAATAAATTTACATAATAAAATATTATTACTTACACTATAAAATAATGTATGGTATCAATATCTAAATTAAATGAAAGGTCCAGGAAGAAAAACGCGAAGATAAAATAAATGATTCCACGAAAAAAAATTATAAAAATTTTTTATTATTTTTTAAAAATTAATAAAATTATAAAATTTTTTTAAAAATTAATAAAATTATATTTTTACATTAATTTAAAAAAAAAATTTTAAGTTTAAAATTTTTAACACCCTTAACCCTTGCACCCTCCACTTTTTAAAAGGGTCCGGGTCCAGCCAAAATACGAGGGTTCAGGGTCCGGGTTCACATCCCTGGTTAAAAACATATGTAGCTTTAAAAATATCTATTTGTTGTAAAATCGATTACACAAATATCTTTTATGAAAAATATTATTTTTATGCATCGTTTAAAGAATAATATGTAATTATAGGTTATAGAGATTGAAAACAGCTGGTTACTTGAAGTCGCTCCGCATTATTACAAGGAAAAGGATTTAGAAGATAACTCGGATAAAAAATTACCTAAAGCAACAGGAAAATCTAGCAAAGAACTAAATAGGACATATGACTAAAAATAAATATTTTACTTTTGCATGGGATACAATTTACCTTATTTGATATCCTCCTTAATTAGATGAAAGAATTTTGATATTCACAAAATAGAATATATCATAGTTAAAATTTATAGACAATCCTTCATTCTGAGTACAGGGGGTAGACTTTTGTATATAATGTCCATATTATGTAAATATTGTTTTATATTTGCTAAAATAAAGAGCGTAATATAAACTAATTTTTAAAATTTATATATTTTTATTTCTACGATAGACTAAGAAAGATGATTCAAATATTATTTGAGTCATTTTTTGATGAAAGCCATCTAAATATAAAATTAATTTTATATTCCCAACCCGACCCAAAAATCAAGGTAAAAACGTTTCTTTGGCCCCAGAATAATTTTCTAACCCAATCTTCGGGTCGGTGGGGTTTACAGACCTATAGGTATCTCAATTAATATACTCCAATTAATTATTGATTAGATTAATATAAAATGTAGGGGTTCAGTTGCATAATCGATTTTTTTAAAAATAAATGTCAAATTTTTAATAATTATAATTAATATTTGAAAATTTATAAAAATTCTTTTTTATTAATTGTTAGAAAGCCCAATACTCTTTTTAGCTAAATCTTGAATGATATAAACAAGATTTTTGGATTTAACAATCAAACATATTAATGAAAATCCATATAATGACCGGCGAATCTATTTTTATTATAAGCAATTAAATATTGAAGAAGATTAGAAAAAACTGTAAAATAAATGGTATTTGTATTGTAATGCCCAACTCAGCCTCTAAAATATAATTATAAATGAAGTAATTTTAAAAAATATATATTAATCTAAATTAATAAGTAGGCCAAAAAAAAGATAATTGTTGACGTATCAAGTCATTGACAAAAATTGAAAATTTTATAAAAAAAAATATAGATATAAAAAATCAATATGTCGTGTAAAATTCGAAAATATTGTTTAAAATTTGTTTATCATCACACAACTCGAATGCGTCAATTGAAAACTTTCAATAAGATGCAAGCCTTTTATAACAAAATAAATTTTCATGTGTCAAGATTTAATTTTATAAATTTTTTAATTAATACATATATAAATGCTCTTTACAATAATAACTAAATTCCAATATAAATTAAATATGAAGTTTTAAGAATAAAATTAATTGACTTGAAACCTTAAATATTCCCAATCACCAATATAATTAAAACGCGTTCTCGTTCATTCGTAATAAATTAGCACGACCATGAGTCCAATCCCGACTATCAATGCTAAAATTTCTTGCAAACACCTAATGAGTGATCTGCTTCCCTCCTTATCTTCCTCTTTACTCAGTAATTCTGGTAATATTGTGACCGCCGCTATGTAAATAAACCCCCCGGCAGTAAAGGGAAGAATCCAAGAAGTTGACATGAATGAATGAAAATAATGCTTGGAGGCTAGACCGAGTACTGTGCCAGTAAGGGCGCCGACAGCTGTGAGGAATTGGAGTAGAATGGCCTGAAGGTTTTAGTCATATAAATAAGATTGAATAGAATAAGTGTATTTAAAATGCTAGACATTAAAAAAAAGTGATTATATGTAAAATAGAAGAGGCAGAAATCGAGAAGTCTAATTACGGGTATGACGCTAAATATTAAAATGATAAGATTTTTTTTTAAATAGCTGTAAATTTTTATTAAATTATTTTAAAAAATATTTTCATTAAAGATTATATTTGTTTTTACTCAGGGATCCGAAACTTAACTGATACCCATTATTTTTTACCGAACCTCTAAAAAAGAACTGGTTTGAACCTTTAAATATCCTAACTGTTTAAAATGTTATCAATCAATTTTGATTGTTATATATAAGTCGCCATTTTTAAATAGTTTCGTATATTGCGTTCGACGGTTCAAGCTACCCAAGTTAGCGTATAAATTTATTCTTTCTCATTATAGATCTAATTTGATTGAAAATAATATTGAAAATATTTTACTCGTATGGCTTAAGAGGATTTTGTTGGGAAAATAATTTTTTATATTTATGGTTAATAAATACTATTTATTCTATATGCAATAATAAAATAAACGGGTCATTTGCTGTCAACAAAGAAAAGTATGATTTTCGAAAGACCTTTTTAAAACTAAATTTAGTATACAGGCAAAGGCTCGCGCCCTCTATATTAGGGCTAAAGCATAGCCTTTAAGCTGTTTTACTTTTGGAATTATAAAAATGACCATTTTTTGAGTGTCGGTTTTTATTTAATTAACGATTAATTAAAAACTCGTTTTTAGCTGACCCCAAACCTGAACCAATATTTGTTACGGATCGGATCCCTGATTTTTAGATTGAAAATTTTTGCAAACAATTTTATAAAAAAAATAATGAAACCTTTTTCTTTGAACATCCAGATTGGATCAAAATGGCATAATCACCGATTTCGTGGGGTACCTCATGCAACAATATAGTTGTGGTTGCTAAAATCCCTATATATTTTTTAGATTTTTTAAAAAAAATTTGAATATTATATATAAGGTAAAATGCCTTCGAAATTTATGTGAAACTATAAATATTTAAAAATCACTTGTTCTAAAATTATGATACCATAAATGCGGAATTAATTTGAATGCAATAGGCAGAGTTGGGCAGGTCCTTCGGAAAAAGAATTTAGATACAGATTCTTTATTAGAAAACGGATCTTAGATATAGATTTCATAATATCAAAAATATGCTTGTATCTTTTTCCAAATGAAAGTATCTTAAATACAAGATACTTTTATAAAATTATCAATACCAATTTAGAATAGCTTATAAAATATAATTTTTATTATTAATTGGTGAAGAACATAACATAAGCTTATAAATATTTACAATAATTAATAGAATATTTACGAATTAATTTTAATAATTAGGCCATTTATAATAAGTTTTAGCCCATTCTTAACATAGTCAGGGAAGGGAGACTAGTATTTTTAAGGTGAGTTGAAATATTAATTTACAAAAGAGTATTTAAAATAGATTAAATTAAAATCATTATTTTTTAAGAGAATCAATTTTTCAAATAATTTATACCCTTTGCTGTTTCGGCGTATTTAACATTGTGCCTAAACTAAATAATCTTTCAACAGGAGATGATTAAGATATTGCAGTATTATATTTAAAAAAATTCTTTAATGGAAGGATAATAAGTAAGCATTTCTAATGTATTTCGACGATCTTTAAAAAAATTTAAATCCTCCAGCTTCTATGTTATTTGTATTATTGAACTCAGCAACATTTGTTTCACCAAAAGTTAAATGATCAAAGGTTTCGGTATTGTATATTAAATTTTGGTCTTATAGTTTGAGCTTGATTATATACTATTGCACTACATTTAGGGCTTCTTTTAATAATAAAAAAGTATTTTTTTTATCATCCTACAATTCTCAAGTTCTTAAAATATAGATGTGATAAAAATACCAAAAAATCCTCCTTATATTCATCATCCTAAGAAAAGAAATCCCCCAAATCTTTTGCCAATTCCCTCTTGGACAACTTTTAATAAAAGTAGACAATATTGCAACTTAAATTTTTAAGTTTACCTAAGTCCCCTTTAATCACAAATAGTATGGGCACTAATTCTGTACTACTCTGCTCTTGTAGTTTGTCTTAACAATATTCCTCAATATAAACAATATCCGTTTCTTTAATAATGGGACAATCAATTGTTTCAAATAATAAATTAAAATGTGATTTATATTTCAACAGTGAAGTCAAACTGTCGTATAGGCTATTCCACCTGATTATTCATGAAAATTTTAGTTGATTACCACCTCTTATCTCCCTTATATTTTCAGAAGATTTAGGCCTTCCAGCATTCCATAATTTTGTACATTTTCCTTTTACACCATTTCAATTTTATTTTGTGTAATTATTGGTTTTATTTTATTAATGACATTAAATGAAGCTGTTCTACTGTGAATTTTCTTTATTGTGGTAGAGTTTGCTTTATATTAGGTATAAATGCCTAAACGAATTTCTAATTTAAAAAAAATTATCATATAAATAATATACTTTAATATGTTTAACAAAATTTGCAGAGGAGTATATTGAACCTTCACTTTTTTGTGTTAACAGGTTTGACATTCAGCCAATACATTTTTTCTTGACTGAATTATTTAAAAAATTTATATCTAAAATTTTAAGATTGAGATTTGATTCAGGGGAATTTATTTACATAATTTTTCTTTCACTACCCCTTCTTCACTACCACGAGTGTTAATCATCCTACAAATTAAAAAATATAAAATTGGTAATTATATTCTTTCGAGTTACATTTAATTTATATATAAAATATATTCTTTACTTATTTCGTTATGATGTTGTTAATTTTTATCTGTCTATCTTAATGAGAGTTATAAATTTCCAGCTAATTTTGGTTGTCAAAAAAATAAGGTTATAATTTGTGATATGAAAATTTTTTAAACAAGAATATGAAAAAGAATCCGTATCTAGTGTTGTTAAACGGCTCGTTTTGAGCCGATTTTTAAAAACGGCTAACTCAATATTTCATCCAGAATAGTATTACGCAAGTCTGAAGATTTTGTTTATAGAAGGAACAAAGGTTTGGACATCTATTAGCGAGATCTCAAGGCTTAGGCAATATTTTTCTGGCTAAAATATTGAGTTAGCCGTTATTAAATCGGCTAAAACGAGCCGTTTAACAACACTATCCGTATCTGTATCTTTTGTCAGAAAAATGCAAAAGATACAAGATTCTCTAGAATAAAGGATCTTAGATACAGATATTAGTATCTTATTTAAAATGCCAAAAAGATATTTAGTACAAGATACAAAAGGATCTTGTATCTTTGATACAAGTATTCGAGGTACTACCCAACTCTGGCAAAAGGACACCGATTGGTGGGGGATAATGTTGCAAAATCGCGTCATTTAAGTATATTTAAAACTCCGAAAAAACAACTAAACCCAGTTTATAGCCGAAAAGTATCAACCAGTGGTACCGTAAGATTTAGTCGATTTTGCAATACTGGGAGGGGGGGGGGAGTGAAAATTTTGAAAGTTTCAAATTTTTCCTTTTTCTTTTAAAAAAAATCTTCAATACGTAATCGTTATACAGCTTAAATATTTTATGGATATAGAAAATATTTCATCAATAAGCGATGTTTATCTCTGCCAATATTTAATATCAAATCGATCATGATTTACTGTTTTTATTAATAGAATCAGCCGATACTTTTAAAAACCGATCCGATATCGTAATATTTTGGTGTATTATGATTGTATATGTCGTATTAAGATATGGAATCAACGGGGATTTTGGAATTTTAATTTAAAAAATCCGATTTACCAGGAAATGTTTTTCAGCATGTGTAAGTATACCTAATAAAATTCTGATAATCTTCGCTATAAACTTTTGGATATTTTTTTAAAATTTATATAATAATCACTGTAAATTAAGAGTAAATCTAAAGTTCGCGGCAGAATTAGTTGAAATTCCCAGTGTGAGTAATCTATACATATGAAAATCCATTTCTCGTAAATTCATATTTTTAAAATTTAAAAATGGCTCTCAATAAATAATTTAAAATCGAAATTCCAATCCCCATGGAATCTATATCCCAATACGACATATATATTTAGATTATAATATTTTTAATTTTATACATAATTTTCCTAATAATTAGTTATTTGCAATATTTAAAAAAAAAAGAATTATCAAAAAGGAAGAGTTAAAAATGTGATATAATATTTTTTTGTTATATTATTTGCATCAAGAAAATGATTCAAAAATATTTAACGAGTCACATTGAGATTCAACCATAAACATTTCCCTTTTTTAAGTGAGATTATTAACTTTTGGGGGATAAAAAGAAGAAATTTGCAAATCCCTCCTCAAGCTTGGCTTATTTTAAAAAATAATAATATAGGGTTTGGTTGGGCTATATATTTTTTAAAAAAAAATCGGGCCGGGCTCAAATTTTTATATATGATATCGCTCAATCTGTGGAATAAATTAATGTATTTTAAAATTCTTGCAAGAAATAGGCGCCAATATTTTTTTAAAAAATTATTAAATTTTTCTATATTTAAATAAATTCTGGCCGGGTGGACAAATAATTTTTTTATTTTGGGTTGAACTTTTCGGAACAAATAAGATTCGTTCAGGATCGAGCTGGATTAAAACAAAATTCGGGTCTAGGTGGGCTTGAAAAATCCCGATGCATAACCCTAATAAAAAAGTATAAAACCTAATCATTCGTGATAATAAACCAAATATTGTTTTAGCCATGAAAACGGAAGCTCAATTTTTCCAATTTAGCCAAAATAATATTAAGGAAGCTTCAATAATTTTTTTTAAGATGACCAAACCTTTCTAGCATCTATGAGCAAAATCTCCAGGATTGAATAAAATTTTTTGGCTAAAACATTTAGTCCGTCGTTTTTAAACATTTCAAAGTGTTTCCTATTTTGATCTATAGTTAGCAAATTTTTTTTCATGACATGGGTTCAAACATAAATGGTAAATAGAAATCAATCTAAATATCGGTTATCGGATTGGTTTTGTATGAATATAGGAGCCGATTTTTAAAACGGCTAACTCCATATTTTATCCAGAAAAATATTATGCAAGCCTGAAGATTTTGTTCATGAAGTAACAAAAGTCCAGACATATATTATTGAAATTTCAAGGCTTAGGCAATATTTTTCTGACTAAAATATTGAGTTAGCCGTTTAATAACACTAACTCATCGCTTTAGCTTTTTATTTGGAGATATTTCTTAACTTAAAGTTTTGATACTAATAAACCAATTTATTATAATTTTTTTTAAATATCCTTCATAAAAAATTTATTGATAAAGGTTACAAATTTAACGTCACCAAAATATCTCATAAATAGCAAACATTTCTTGATGAATATTTTCCTTATAATATATAAAATTTAAAAAGTATTAACAAAAGAATTTAAATAATTTATAAAACTAGGTCAGATCTAATGACCTTCGAGCCTTTCAAATAACGAATATTTGGTATAATATATATTTTTTTAAAAACATCTAATTTGTATTGGCTCAAATTTAAAAACATGATTTATTAAATATATATAATAATTTTTTTAAAATTTAATTCTAGTTTGTCTAAAAATAAATAAATCGATAATTAGTCATTTTGTGTTTGCTTATATATTTATATATATAGAGGCCAATGTCGACTGGTCCAGTCAAGTCCAAAGTCAGAGTGGACCAAAATAATTTCGTTTATTATGTTCGTAAAATTTTAATTTAGAATTCTAAACATTTTAAAATGAGTATCTTTTTTCTTTAGCCCTTCATTATATTTTATTTATCCAGTGCATTTAAGATTTTTATTTTACTAGGCATCCATCAAGAATACTAAATTAGGCTGACAATTTATTCATTTAAAGATGTATACATTGAAGTCCGCCATTGAAAGTTATTCAGACGAAATAGTAGGGATTTTAAAATGTGAAAAGAATTAAAACAACATCCCTTTCAAAGGGCGTCTATAACAACTAATAATGATATTGAATATAGCTGACTTCAATAAATGTGAATTTTTAATAAATGAATCGGCAGTCTAGGATAGAATTAATGTTATTGACCCTACCGCCAAATTTTATTTTATTCACATACTACATTTTTTAAGCCTCGTTATATATTATTAAAATTCTTTGATGATCAGGTCGGAGTCCTGTCAGACTTATAATTTTGAGCCGAATAGACTGGCACTTAAAAAAATAAAATTCGACTGGACTCGGCGAACAAAATAAATTGATTATTTGGGATGAACGAAAAAAGGACAGACTTTTTAGTATATTTTAAAAAAAATATGGAGAATCATTGAGTAGATTATATTTAACAAGAATGATTGCGTTTTTCTGTTATTTTCCATAGGATAAAAAAAGTATAAAATGATTATCTATAAACCGACAGAACTTCCCGCTATAAAAGAGGCGCTGATTGCCAAACCGTCAGTAAAATTATGAGCAAAATCGGCCACTAAGTTCAGATAAGCTGCGGTTTTCAAGCCAATATCATGAGTGGTATAATCTAATATTTTAAATTATAATTCCATAATTTTAAATAAATAAATATAATCAAGAGTAAATGTAATATATATTTGCGCCAAAGTTTTTCTTGTAATAATAAAAAAAAAATTAAATGTAAACGATGAATATAATTTTATTATCAAACTCTTCTGCTACTACCTAAATTTAAACCCTTCATCAAGTTTAGTTGCAATTTTAAAGATTTACATTTATTAATTATCATAAATGCTAATTACCATAATCATTGTTCTCGTCAGATTTTGAATAAGCTGAAGAATGATCTCCTTTGATTTTTTTGTCCACTATATCTAAGTGATTTGATACATTTTCGTTGAGTTTACGCCTTGACCTGAGTCCACTAGTGGATTGATCTTGGCAAATTATATACAAGTAGATAAATATAGGAATAGAAACTTAAAAAAAAACGAATTTATTTATGTTATAGTAATTCGCATCTTTATCTTTCTAAAAAAACTAATATACTACCCTCCGCTGAAGATGATCCTTTTTAGGGGATTTTTTTAAAATTGGTAGCAGCGTGGCTCTTTTATATATATCCTTAAATAGTATACAATAATTTTTTAAAAATATTTATAATAATATCATTTATATTTCTTACAATGTTAGCTATAATACACCCCAAATAAAAAAACGAATCATTCCACTGAAATTTTTTATTTTAATTCAATTAATACATTTAAAAAGGCACATTTTTATGGTTATTTTATTATCCTTTTTATTTTTAGAAAAAAAGTACAAATTTAATATACGCTAATCTTAAAACGAAATATGCTAAATAACTTCTTCTATTCCTAAAAATGATTCTTATGTAAATGTGAAATAAATATTTTATAAAATATTTAAATTCCAATCTATATAAAATGATATTAGAAAGATTTAAGAAATTCTGAATTCTTTAATATTATTTTAAAATTTAACAGTTAATGATTTTTGATTAGTTAAATAAAATTTCCTCCTAGTTTATTATTTTTCTTCTTTTGTATTTTTATTCCATTAATTCAAATTATATATAAATTACAGAAATTTAAAAAAAGTATAACATTAAATAACTATAAATACAATATCCAAATTCATGGAATTCTACCCATTCATGAATAAGGGAGCACAAACAAAATAGTTCAGATAATTATAAAATTAATATCAGACATGGAGTAGTCCATGATAAAAAACCTTTAATCAGGGCAAAAATATATATCCAATTATTAAAAAATAAGGAATCAAAAAAATATTAATTTATGTGATAAAAATTCTGTTAATATCCGATGGGGCATTCATCTATCACACGATAAAATTGCTTAGATTGCATTGCAAGCTTATTGCTTCCTGATTCAAAAATAGACAAAAACATAAAATGCGAAAGAACAACCCCCCCTCTATGGTTTTGAATTTCATTGATCTTGCGACTAAGAGACACATTTTAGATAATTTGAAAGGAAATTATTCATTTTATTTATTAAAGGATGCCTCAAATAATGGAAATACCAAAACATTCCTAATAATACTGCGCTATTTTAATTAAGGAATAGGGGTTTCAAGTATACTTCATAAAAATATTACATCGGACTTGGAGAAATTGAAGAATATTGAATCTAGGCTTGTATCTTGATTTTAAAATAAAAATTAATATAAAATCTTCTAAAAAATTATATGAAAAAGATTTATTTTATGTAGTGATATTTTACAATATTTTGTGTGCATATTTCTTACGTGAAAAATTTAATAAAATAATTTAAAAAATTTATGGTTAAATACTCTCACTTTTTGTTTGAAAGAATCTGACAACTCTGGATAAAACTCTAAACATCCAAATTCGTTAGATCAATATTATTTCATTAATAGATGAAATAGGCATAAGTCGTTCTACCGATAGACATATTATTTGCTTAAATATAAAAAGACAGCGGTTTTCGAGCCCACTCAGAGTCTAATGATTTCGGAAGCCCATTCAAAGTCTAATGATTTCGGAAAAATTGTTCTTTATTTCCTTCTTTAAGAGAAAGATGAAGTTTTGTTTATATTATATAGTTTAAGAAGAAACTATTTTTAACAACATTACAAAAGAAAAACATGATTGAAATTGGGCTTTAAACCAGTGTTGTAAGATTCTATCAAACCGGGAATGAGTATTTAATCATAATTATAAAAATTATTTTATTAAAATTTTTAGAATATCCACTTGAAATACTGTAAAAATCAGTATATAAAATAAAATCCTATTTATATATTTTTTTAGAAAATTTAATACTAATTTTTGTCTTAATCAAGGTTCCGCACAAGCATATATCCAATATCCTTCGATTTCTCCAAGTCCGATGAAATATTTTTAGGATGTTTAACTTGAAACTATTTCTTAATTAAAATGACGCAGTATTAATTTCCACTATTTAGGTATCGTTAATAAAAAAAATGGATCATTTTCCTTCATATTATCTAAAATGTGTTTCTTGTCCAATGATATTCAAAACTATCTTGAGGGATTTTATTCTTATGCATTTTATGTTGGCGATTTTTGAACTAAAAGAATGGGAAATAAGTTGGCAATGAAAAGTAAGCAATTTTATCGTGTGATAGATGAATAACGCTTTGGATATTTACAGAATTTTCATCAAATAAATTATTGTTTTTAAAGTATGGTTCGATATTTTTTTTATGATACTTTTTATTTTTTAAATTGGATATATATTTGTGTCTTGTTTAATGGTTTTTACATTATAGACTCCTCAATATGTCGGAATTTGTATTGTATATTATACAAACTGCATTTGAAATATGGTGATGTTAGAGGTCTGTGCATTGGGCGGGTTTTTGGACCATAAGTCCGCCCATCTAATGTTTAAAAAATTTTTAACACGCCTGTCCTTAGTTTTCAAAAAAAATATACCCGCCCGCCCATTAGTCTAAATTAGGTATTGCGTTTAAAATTATCTGTAATTTATATATAATTTAAATGAATGTAATAAAAATAGAAACGAAGAGATATATTAACTGGGAGGAAATTTCATTACTAAAAAAATCTTTAACTGATAAATATAAAAATTTTAAATAATATTAAAAAATGAAGAATTATTTTAAACTTCCAATATAATTTTATTAAGAATTATATGAAATACTTATTTCACATTCACATAAAAATCATTATCATTTTTAGAATTAGAAGAAGTGATATTCTTTTAATATTTATATTTTGTTCCTTTTTTTCTAAAAATGAAAAGAAGAATAAAATAACACACAAAATATTTTAAATGTAAATTTAAGTTTAAACTAATTTTAAGCCTTATATATGTAAAAATTTCATAAAAAAATCTCGAGAAAATTTAAATCTAATTTTTAAAAAAATGACGGGGTATTTTAGCGTAAACAAGAGTAAAAAATATGGGAGGCCTGGCACCCCTGGTTTAATTTTCTTCCTTTGAATAAAATAAAACTCTATAACTCATTTAAATAGATTAAATTATAATTTTATTTTTATAAAAATAAGCAGGCGATAATTAATTTTAATAAAGAATAGATAAATTCAATTGGCAAAGATTTGGGTGATCGTGTAGTGAGTAGAATTATATGCTCAAGCAATTATTAAGACATATTTTCCTTATAATTTATAAAAATTAAATGGTTTTTACTTTATACAAGATGCAATAGTAAACGCTTTAAGTTAGGATGAAATATTTTATTTATTGTCATAATTATAATATTAAATATACATATGAATTGCGCATATATATGTATTTTAAAAAAGGTCGAATATGTCAAGAGTAATAGTATAGCATGAACAAAATTATTAATTTGATTCATGGATATATAACATATACTCTCTTTAAGCTCTAATAATTAACAATTATCTCGTACAAGGCCTGACAGTACTTAGATGCTATATTTTCCCCAAAAATTTAATTTATCGGGATGGAATGCTTTATTTGCCTTGCGTACTACATTATTGCGAATACTCTCAAATTCCAATACAAACTCAAACCAGTCGCTAAAAACAAATTTTGACCATTCGATAAAGATCCAATCTTTATATTGAAATAGTATCGTTTTTTTCTTTTGGTTAATGGTTAAAAGATATTTTTTCTTAGCCTATAATTTAACTAAAAAGTACAGTGACGGTATAAAAATTAAATCATTTTATAAATTTATAACCCAAAGAATAAATCATTTTGTTGCAAGGATAGATAGATAAAGTCTTTTTTGTCTTATATCTCTTAATTTTTGAGTCAAGTGAAAAAGATTTGGATTTTCCCTGATAATTAGTTGCAAACTGCGTTTATCCCTGAAATTCCTGGATGTCACATTCTCGCGCCAATGCATGAAAATTTAACTGGATCAATTAATTTATTAATATTGATTTCTGCTTAGGTGGAGCTTTTCGGTTATGGCTAAATTATTCTTTCCTTTTTCACGTAAATCACAAATTATCCACTGGATAATTGGTTCAACTAGAATTCCATGGGGAATTTAAAATTCAAAAATAATTGTGACTAAAGCTTAACTATTTTTTTGTATTCATTATGACATTAGCTTGAATCATTTAAAACTGACTAAAAGCGAAATTAAAAAACAGCGTTATTTTGAATTAAAATATATTCCTATTGTTCATAACTTCAAAATTAGTTATCCTCCAAAATAAATCAAAAAATTATCATTAAGATCTTGAAATTAACATTAAATTAGTCATATAACTAAATACAAAATGTTGGGTACAAAGGGATAAAATGTAAAACAGGCGTTATTTTTGGTTTTGGGTAGTATATTTATATTAATTAAGATTTTAATTTTTAAAGAAATTAATAATTATTTTTAAATTTGAAAATTAATGTAAGCGAAAAATGAAGGGTGGTTGTATATCAATGAGGTATGGTAGTATATATCTATGTATTTTTTAAATTTAAGTATCAATAAGATAGTCATTTTTGGTAGTTTCATGAATTTATTATTTAAAAACAGGGTTCTGCACCCAGCGAAATTTTCAACCAGGTTCAATCAAAGTCCAGGGAAAACTTTAAAAGGTGTTCGGTCCAGAGAACGTTCATTAGGTAGAACCCAGGTCCAGTTTAGATCCAGATTCATAACTTTTTAAGAAAATACAAATCAATATTATATAAAAAAATATATTAGAAAATAAATGTGAGAAATTGGATTTTGAAAGTAACTTATAAAGATTTGCAAAAATTATTTATTGATAAAAATTTGAAAATTAATCTTCAAGTTATAATATTGAATTAAATTATATTTGCATTTTTATAAATCTCTTTCCCTTATTTAGTAGAGCTGTTAAAAAAAATAGTTGACAAAGAAAATCTGAGATTATAAGATTATATGAAAAACTCAAAGTAGTAATTCAAATTATGTTAGTAATTTTAATTAAGAAATAATATTTATATATATGTTATATATATAATAATACCCTTTATTTTGCTCAAATTTATAAATTTTGATATATAATTGAATTTAAAATAGCTTAAAATTTTTATGGCGCTTCAAAAAAATCGAAATAATTAACTTGTCATTTTTATATTATTTAAAATTTTTAATTTTTTGAGGAATTAAATTATTCAAGGTATAAAAAAAATTCCCGAACCCAATCTGGATCTGGGTTAAGGAAAAAACGGGTTCGGATTCATAATCCGAAATATTTTCGAGTCCAGCACTTCGGGTTCGAGAGCCGTGAACCCGGGTCCAGTGGTTCGAGTTCGTTCCAGATATTATTCAATCAAATATTTTTGCAGCTTTCCAGAATGTATGGTTTAGAATTATTTATAATTTTTAAAAAAAAATTTACCATCAGAATTATTTGAAAATGAAACAAGATCCTCTGCTTTCTCTTTTACCATTACGTCGTTAAACAAATGAGCATGGCTCTCGTGTTTATGATCGAGCGCATGCTCGAATTTAACGATTCTCATTATTTTGTCTACACAAAGAAAAGCCAAAACTCCAGATAACACCCTTATACCAACTAAATTGTACATCTTTTCCAGTTCTTCTTCTCGCGTCTCGGGATCAAGGGTGGATGATATGGAAGCTGATTTTAAATATAAAGATAATTTTTATCAATAATTTAGAAAAGGGAATAAAATAACGAGGATCAACAATCCAGTTCTATAGTCTGAACCCAAAAGCAGACCGATTTTTTGATAGAAAAATATTTTGACGACTTTGGTCCATACCTTTCAGTTTTACCAGTTATATCATTAAATGATTTTCAAGCCAAAAAAAAATAAAGGTCTTTTTTTGTGGACGATTTTGTAAGTATCTAATTTATATTGTGTTTATAAGAATAATGAAAAATAGGTCTAAACTAGTGTTGTTAAAAACCTCAATTTACTTGATTTTATAAAAAATGACTATTGCCAAACAAATATATAACCTACGTCGTGAATTTTCCCAAGAAGGAAAAATTTAGCGAAATCTTCGAGATATAGGTTATTTGTTTATATAAAATCCAAGCAAGACAGTTGGGTTATTCCATGTCAAATGAGCAAAAAAATCAAGATTTTCGGCCGACCCCTTTCAATTTCGATAAAAAGTTGTAGACTGGTTATATATGTTCCCATTAGATTATAAACAAAATTTTAGCGCATTAGCAACTATATTAGCCGAGATAATCGGGGTTAAAGGTCCAAAAAACGTCTTTTTTTGCTTTTTACTGATGTCAAATAATTAGTTTTTAATTTAAAACTAAATATGATCAAATATTGAATCTAATATCAATAGCTAAGTTAATAATTTATGATTATGGCGAAAACATCAAAATTAATCTTTTATAAAATATGGGTCATCTTATGGTCAGTTGAAAACTTGAAATTAATATTTCGAAATGTATATGATCTCTGATTTTTAATTTTTTTAAGAAATATTATCCGTTTACTATTTTTTTAATAATTTCTTCAACAATTAGCATGGCTGGATATTTATTTTAAAAAATATTGCGATTTTTATACTTTAAAAAAAATAGATGGCGCTATATATAATAGTTTTAATATGTTAAAATTTATTTTTTTATTGATTAAAAATATTTTAATGTATAATATATCATAAAATTCGATTATATAACTTTGTAAACCTTATTCCCCTGAGATATTCGCAGGATAAAAAATTTTAATAATTTTTTTAATATTTCAATGTAAATTAAAAATAATTAAAAAATCCGACTAACATGCGAACAAAAAAGCAGTATTAAAGGAGTGCAGGAAAATTATTAAGGGAAAAATCGAAAATCATATAATTACCCGGCCTACCCCCCATCCCCCCTCCAGACTAGGTCATACCCATCAAGACCAAGAATGTTATAAAATTGTCATTAACCAGAAAATTTCAAAGATTTTTAAAAAAATTTTAAGCAATATAATTAACAAAAAATTAACTAGTTATAAAATTTTCGGTATCAAATGAATTTGAGCATTCTCTATAAAATTTTTGATCAAAGTCTTTGAATTTTGAGCATATATTTAACACTGAAAAAATTAATAAAAGTAAGTCAGCTGTTTTTATCTTTTCTTAAAATTATTAAAAATAAACTGATTAGCAAAATTAATTAGCGAATTTAATCGATAAATCACAGTTGCTAAAAATACAAATTGATTTCTTTAATATTTTTTCACAAACACCGATTCATATCTTTTACATATAAATATTTTTACTTGTCGTTTAAAAATAAATAAATTTTTTTAAATGAAACCCTTAAAAGATAAGATAAAATGTTGCAATCCACTGAATAAAGTGAATCATAAAAATTTAAGATCAGTTCTTCCATGGATGCTTAATATAAATAATCATTTATATCTTCAACAAAAAATATGTAATTCGTGCCGATACCAGTTAAGTAAAATTGGTCCACACATTCCGGAAGAATTTATATCCCCAATAACCCATAATCAGGATGCCTTTGAATCGATTAATGAAACATTACACAATATTGGAGAATCACCAATTAAAAGAAAACGTTTAATGGAGAAAAAATATCCTAAAAATAAAATTCAAAAGATTGAAAAAGCAATAAAGATTAAGGTTTTAGAAATATCTGATTCCGAGATTGATAGACCAATGAAAGAGGAAATTCTTATTATATTAAAGGATAACTTTGATAAATTATCAAAAAATCAACAATATCAAATTCTTACAATTTTGCCTCAAAGATGGAGTGTAAATAAAATTCAAAAGGAATACAACGTAACATCATACATGGCAAGAAAATCTAAAATGATGGTAAAAGAAAGTGGAATTCTTTCATTTCCAAAACATAAGGCAGGAAAGACACTAAACGAAAAAACATTTAAACTCGTCAAGGATTTTTATAGTTCTGATGAAATAAGCCGACTCATGCCAGGAATAAAAGATTGTGTATCTGTTAAAAGCGAGAAAGAACCAGTTCAAAAAAGACTTATATTAAATAATCTTAAAGAAATATTCAAGATGTTTAAGGAAGAATACCCAAATATATCAATAGGATTCTCTAAATTTGCCGAACTTAGACCAAAAAACTGTATTTAGTTGGAGCTAGTGGCACACACACTGTTTGTGTCTGCGCTATTCATCAGAATGTGAAATTAATGACAAATGTAATAGATGAAATTACAGCAGGAGAAGATTACTGTATAAATTCTTACAACTATCTATTGGCGCAAATTATTTGTAATCCATCTCAGCCAAAATGTTATTTAACAAATTGTGATCAATGCCCTGGTATAGAATCTCTTAAGGGACAATTATACCAATTGTTTCAGAGAAATCGTATAGAATATGTCACTTAAACAATGGATCACGGTGGATAGAACAAATCTTGAAACTATTATAAAGTCCGTTGATAATTTCATCGATTATTTATTAGAAAAAGTTCAAATTTTACTGCGTCACTCGTTTATAGCTAAACAACAAAGTTTATTTTTGAAGAATTCCAAAGAAAATTTAAAAGATGGGGAATTTTTAACAATTCTAGATTATTCTGAAAATTATTCCTTCATTTTACAAGATGAAGTTCAGGGATTTCATTGGAACAACGTGCAGGCCACTATACATCCATTTGTAGCATATTATAAATCTGGAGAAGATTTAAAAAATATAAATTTTGTTATTATATCCGAATCATTAAACCATAATACTAGTGCAGTCCACCTTTACCAAAAAAAATTTATTAATTTCTTAACAGCCAAATTTAATTCTAAACCAGAAAAAATAATATATTTTTCAGATGGAGCCGCGTCTCAATACAAGAATCGCAAAAATTTTCTGAACATATGTCTTCATAAATACGATTTTAATATTCCTGCCGAATGGCATTTCCTTGCCACTGCTCACGGCAAAAATGCATGTGACGGTATCGGGGGAACTGTCAAAAGATTAGTTGCCAGAGCTAGTCTTCAAAAACCAAATAAAAATCAAATCCTAACCCCATTAGAATTATATAATTATGCTAAAGAAAATATTAATGGAATTCAATTTGAATATATATCCAATCAAGAATATATCGAAGGGGAATTAGCCCTTCTCAAAAGATTTAATTCTGCGCTGCCCATACATGGGACCTTAAAAATTCACGGGGTTATTCCCATTGATCAAAATAGACTAAAAACCAAAATATATTCAAATTCTAAAAAATATAATATAAAACAAGTTTCGTTTTTAAATGAAAAAATTATATTTAAAAATATTAATGGATATGTAACATGTGTATATGATGATAAATGGTGGTTAGGATATATAATCGATAAATATGATACAAATGAAGAAGTAAAAATCCGATTTTTACACCCTTGTGGACCTTCAGCCTCATTTAAATTTCCCCTGAAAGATGATATTTTAGTGTTACCTAAATCTCATATTCTTTCACTGGTCAATCCTTCTACTCCCACCGGTAGAACATATATATTATCTTCTGAAGAAATCTCACAAGCTAGCCAGGCTTTGTGTTCCTTTAGATGAAGTAAGATTTAATTAATTTATAAACTATCTTAATTAGGCTAAATTTGTGAAGATTTTAAAAATTTATGATCTGAATTACAAATAAATATATATAATGGACATTGTAATCGATTTAGTATGATATATATACATTAAAATATTTTTAATCAATAAAAAAATGAATTTTAACATATTAAAACTATTATATATAGCGCCATCTATTTTTTTTAAAGTATAAAAATCGCAATAAATTTTAAAATAATTATCCAGCCATGCTAATTGTTGAAGAAATTATTAAAAAAATAGTAAACGGATAATATTTCTTAAAAAAATTAAAAATCGGAGATCATATACATTTCGAAATATTAATTTCAAGTTTTCAACTGACCATAAGATCACCCATATTTTATCAAAAATTAATTTTGATGTTTTTGCCATAATCATAAATTATTAACTTAGCTATTGATATTATATTCAATATTTGATAATATTTAGTTTAAAATTAAAAACTAGTTATTTAACATCAGTAAAAAGCAAAAAAAGACGTTTTTTAGACCTTTAACCCCGAATATCTCCGCTAATATAGTTGCTAATCCGCTAAAATTTTGTTTCTAATCTAATGGGAACATATATAACCAGCCTACGATTTTTCATCAAAATCGAAAGGGGTCGGCCGAAAAGTGATTGATTTGACATGGAATGACCCAGTTGTAGATCTCTAATAGAGCTCTGCCGATATTCAACCGAGTGATGCAAAATCTTTCCATTTGAGCCAATTTTTAAAAATGTCTAACTCAGTATTCTATCCAGAAAAATATTCAAGCCTGAAGATTTTGTTAATAGATGTCACAAAGGTTTGGACATCTATTAGCTAAATCTCGAGGCTCATTGTTATAATAAAATTTAAAATACATTCCACTCTTATATATGTCCACCCATTATTAATAAGGGTCAAAATTTAGATCTATCTTATTTTTGGGTTGCTATATTTTTAATCCTTTCACATTCCCTGTTTAACAAATTTTTACTAAGTAACTATCTTGTGAGCATTTTTATGCTGTTTTTAAAGATTGAAATATTTTCTTCCAAATACATATTGCATTATAGAAAATGAACAATTAGCATAAAAATAGTTTCCGAAATTATCAACACATTTCATTAAATTATTTTTTCAGAAATTTATATTAATATATGTTGAATTAAAATTAGAAGATGTTAGTCTTATCCTATATCTCTTTAACCTTTAATCCTTAATTCAATTATATTTAAAAATTTAAATATATTTCAGTCAATAAAAAAATTTCCTTCTTATGAACTTCACTAAAGTTGAGCTATTATTATATTATCGAAAATGAATATACATACAAAAGCAAAACATAATTATGATATATAACCAAAAGGAAAAAATATTTTTCTAAATATGACAAAAATCCTGATTTATTTGATCAAATAAAATAAAAATTAGGGAAACTGCAGGGAAATTTCTAAGTTTCCCAAGTATTTCCCCTTTGTTACATTCTAGTCATTCCATGTCAAACCGATCATAATTTGGTCTATCTCTTTTTATTTAAGAAAGATTTTGTATATAAGCAAAGGTTCGTATAACCTATATTTGGATAAAGCTTCAGCCTCCTAGCTGTTATAATTTTGAAGATATCAGGTGCAGAAGTATGAAAAATGGTCTTTTTTTATCATGTCGATTCTCATCAATTAATGATTAAATAAACTAGTGCAATAACAAATTTAGTATTCAAATAAAATGCATAGCATACTTAATATTTTTAAAAATAAATTAAATATTTTTTGCCAAAAATAATATATAAAAATTTCATATAAGATATCTTTTTTTTGTTTAGATGATTAATAATGTTTTTATATTATAAAATAATGTATGATTTAAAAGATTCCTATCACAATTTTCAATGCCTTGCCTGTAAACAAATCTTTGGGTTAGGGTGTCTATATAAATATATCTAGTATAATAATATGTCATACTACTTTTATTAATTAATCTTTCCATTATCAAGATTTTTTTAAAAAAGCATCATGCCATATTTTAAGCATTGGAGACCTGGACACCTAATCTGGGCTAAAATTTTGGGTAGGTAAGCTAGGTACAAAATAAAACTATATTCAGATTTATGCCATAAAATCAGGGATATAAGACAACACATTCTGGGACCATTTTAGAAGCAAGGGAGTCAATAAAACCTTGAGATAAAGATTTGGTAAATTAAAATATGTAAAAATATTTAAAAACAAATATTATAAATTGAATTCTTCTAGTTAAATTTCATATTATCCATAAAATATTTTGGAGTTTCCTGGTTTATATTTTTTTTATACTCAGATTGCAAACTGAGTTGTGCAATAGATCACACAAATTGAGATTTCAAATGCTGCATTACAAACTCAAATAATTTCAAATAGCATCATGCATATTGTTAAATTTACCATTTGGTGGTAGCATTTTTCTAAATACCTTTTTTTATTCTTCATTTTGTAATATTATATAAAATGTAAAAAAAATAACTTGTATCTCAAAATGGAATATTTAGAAAAATAAAAAGGATTAAATATAAATTTCAAAGACAAATTCTTTTTTGGACTTAGTTGAATTGACAATATTAATAAAAAGACAGCCTCAATTTAAACAATGGATGCATTATGTTTTTTTTTCATTAAAAAAGTATGGCAAAATGCAAATATTCAATTTGTGCACACTATAATGCTTAGAATATTGCTACTTTTATTGGTAGATAATATAAGGAAATCAATAAAAAAATCTAGACCATATTTTACAACCCAAAACCTTTTCCATATACCCATATTTGGAAATGGGGTAATTCGATGTGAACCCGGACCCTCTGAACCCTCGTATTTTGGCTTAACCCAAACCTTTTTAAAAAGTGGAGGGTTAAAGGGTTCAGGGTAAAAATTTTAACAAATAAATTTTTTTTTTAAATAATGTAAAAATATTATTTTTAAAAAATAATATAAAATTTTTAATTTTATTAATTTTTTTCGTGGAATCATTTATTTTATATTCGCGCTTTTCTTTTGATTTTCTTCCTGGACTTCATTTCATTTTATTTAGAGATTGATACCATAGATTATTTTCTAATGTAAGTAATAATATTTTATTATGTAAATTTATTAATATGCTTTTTGCCTAAAAAAAAGCATTCATATTCAAATGTCTGAGGAGAATTTGATGAATGCTTTAGTTGAGCTTGTTACAATAAATGGAAGACCTTTCAATATTATTGAGGATTCTGGTTTAAAAAAAATTATTGATCCTATTAGTAAGGCAATTGGAACATCAATTAACCGTTTTAAAATTAAGGACTTAGTGGTTGATGAATCGAAAAAAATACAAGCAAAAATTATAAAAGAAACAAAAAACAAATTAATTTCATTAAAAATAGATTCCGCCCAAAGATTAGGGAGAAATATTTTAGGAATAAATATACAATATATTAAAGGAAATAATATAATCTTAAGAAATTTAGCAATGAAGGAGATTAAAGAAAGTTCAGCTTCTGAAAATATAAAAAGAATGATAATAGAAACTTTAAATAAATTCCATATTCCTTTAAGAAACGTTTATACCATTACTACGGATAATAGTGCTAATCTAGTCAAATCTATTAAATTATTAAATGAATGTTCATTGGACGAAATGGATGATATAGATATAAATAATGATGATAATAATTTTGAGGACATAAGTGAATTTGACATACCGGAGATAATAAAAGATTTTTCCACGAAGATATACTGTATCAGATGTGCAGCCCACACACTACAATTAGCTATTAATGATTCCCTCAAAAATAATATCTTTAAAACTATAATTGACAAAGCAAGGGATGTTGCTAAATATTTAAGAACTCCTACAATTGTACGAATATTAAAATCCATGAAAAGGCAAATGGCAATATTAGATTGCACAACCCGTTGGTCCTCTATCTGTATGATGCTAGAGCGATTAATAAGTTTAAAAGATTTCTGTGATGATTTTATTATAGGATCATGTGAAATCATTTCAGAGGATGATTGGAATCAAATCAAAGACCTTACTAGGGTGTTGGTTCCTTTGAAAATTACTACATTACGATTGCAGTCAGAACAGTTGTGTTTCGATTTTTATGGCATATGGGTGAGATGTCGATTAGAATTAGAAAAATTTACAAGTTCCTTTTCACACGAAAGAAAACATGAAAATAATAGAGCAACAATTTTTGAAAAATAGTGTTGTGTATGCCTCAATATATTTAGATCCTCGATATCAAGTTCTATTAAGTATTGAGCAAAAGCTAATGGCAATAGACCATCTCGACGATTTATGGCATAACCATAACTCTATTATTAACAATATATTGGAGGCTTCAACATCTAATGGTTGTAGCGATAGTAATGATGATAGTAATATTGACGATCTCGAAATTTTATTATTAGATAGAGAAAAAAAAATAAAATTATCATCAGGATCAGATAGAAAGGTGTAAAAAATATCGATTGTATCTTTAATTGAAAAATTCTCAGAAGTTAAGAGAATTAATAGGGATAAAAATATTTTAACATTCTGGGAGGAAAATTCTCTAATATATCCTGAATTGTATACCTTTGTCTAGATTCGTCATGGCTGTACCGGCGACACAGGTACAATAATTTATATATTATAAAGATAACTATCTATTTTAGGTCAGCGTAGAACGTGGATTTTCTTCTTTGAAATACATATTGTCTAATTTACGTGGAAATCTCAAGGATGATATTTTAGAAGATATTATGATCGTTCGATTGAATAAAATATTTAAAATTTAAATTATTTCATTTTGAATTATGAATGTGTATATATATTGAAGTATAATAAAAATGAATGAAAAAAGTCTTAGTTTTATGTTCCCTGGATCCGGGTCCTTTAAAAATTTATTACAGGACCCGAACCCGGACCCTTTTTTTTTGTTGAAGGGTTCACATCCCTGGGTAATTCCATACCAAATTGATAACTTTTCGGTACGACCTTTTTAATTTCGATAAAATTTTGCATACTGAGAGAATATCATTAGAAAGCATCGAATCCAAAATTTTAGCCTCCTAGTACTCATAGTTCCTGAGATATCAATGGTCAAAAGTGCCAAAAATGACATATACGATTTTTAAAAATTGAGATATGTTAAAAAATAATGATTTTATAAATATAAGTTATATGTCATTTTGTAAATCTATTAAAGGTCTTTTATTAAGGATTTACGATTTTTAAAAATTGAGATAAGTTAAAAAATAATGATTTTATAAATATAAGTTATATGTCATTTTGTAAATCTATTAAAGGTCTTTTATTAAATATTAAGGATTTTTTTGAAATAATATTGTTGCGGTTTTTATTTAGGTTATAAATTTTAAACATAAAAACTCCAGGTGTTTCGCTTTTCAATTTTTTTTGAATTTAATATTTTCTTATTCTCTAACCTTATATCTATTCATAAAAAATTTAAACTTGGGACAACCATGGGTTTTTTAGTTATTGGGATTTAAAAAATTAAAAAATAAATATTTTTTTTAAAAATAGATGGCAGATTATTATTTTTATAAACTTTTTTCTATTTTTAAACATAAATAGCAAGATCTTCTAACATTAATATCATGAAATGAGATTATTTAGCTGCGGTTATAATAATCATTTTTTTCTTATAAAAAATTTTAATTTTCGAAAATTTTGATATAATAGATAAATTAAAATTCATGAAATACCTATTTTCGGTTTTTCATTAAATTTAGTTTTTTTGACGCCATGATAATTTCGTGTTGCGATAAATTATATGTACGCCAGCCGTTGATAGGCTAACTATTGTTAAAATATTATTTTTTTGGTATGAAAAGGATATCTTGTGCAGCTAGATAAACAAAAGAATTTGCTAGTCCTTTAGGGTGAAAAAAATTAATTTTTACTTCATCTCTAATTACATTCACTTCTTGTACAAATCACCAATCGTTTTCATATGCACATGTTACATATCCTCTAATTTCATCGATTAACAGACCCTCAATCAAAGGATCCTCACGTGAATATACTATCTCCACAATAAATGTCTGCGAATTAGATATAGTTTAGTTAAACAATTACTCGCCTTGAAATGATTATATAATTCTTTCAAATTATTAAGAACTAACCTTTTTTGAGCGTTCACTCGTTCCCCCTTTTCAATGCTAGATTATGCAATCTTTTTTTCCTGGTAATACCCTACTAACTTCATCACTGCAAAAAAAAATTTAACAATATCAACTGTATTTTGATTGAGATATTTTTGCAGGCTTTGGATTTGGAGTTGAAAATATCCCCTTTTCTTCTAAAACGATTTTGGAATTATATGCCATATGATTATGTAGCGTTAAATGTTGTTTTTATTTTATTTGCGCTCCAATTAGGATGCAGAATGGTCAGCAATTGATATTTTTTTATTTATAGATAAATTAGGATATTGTTATTTCATATTATTGAGTAATATCATTATTATCTTTTGTACTCTATTCTGGATTGTTAATTATTATATCTGAAATAGGCTTTTTATATTTTCGCTATCCTTTTTTTTGGATAATTTTTTTCGGTTATTTTTTTTTCTTAATAGGAGATATTTCAATTTCGTTTAAAGTTATATTGATTGTATCCATTGATGTTGATGCTGTGTTGATATTATTTACATATTAACTATCAGAATAGTTATATTTTCAATATTTTTTTGTGATAACCGTTTACGACATTTATCACAAATAGAGTGTTCCGCCTCAATGTTTGGATATTGTATCATCCAGGTCATGACTTTGCGGGTTCCTTTGAAAATTAAAGTGTTTAGATCCTTTAAAAGGATTTAACGCATTTATATTTATACATTATAAATAATTTTAAAAAGAAAAATAATTAATATCAAAATATTTGTAAAATAAAAATTAATTAATATTAGGGCGTGCATGAAAACTTGCTTTTATCTATCAACAATTATTAATATATTTTCTTGTAGGAGATATCGGAATCTTAACTATCTTTTTAGGAAATTTAATAATTTATTATAAAAACAACTAATTTTTACAAGTTATCAATATAATAATAATAATAAGAAAGCCTATCAAACGATCTATATAATATTTTTATGATAGTAATGTTGGAAAATCTTATTATTTATGTTTAAAAATGAAAAAAAGTTTAAAAAAATAATAATCTTAAAAAAACATGTTATTTTATAAAGGATCGCCATCTATTTTTGAAAAAAATTATTTTTTAAATCCCAATAACTAAAAAACTCATGGTTGTCCCAAGTTTAAAATTTTTTTATGAATAGATATAATAAGGTTAAAGAATAAGAAAATATTAAATTCAAAAAAATTTAAAAAGCGAAGCACCTGGAATTTTTATGATTAAAATTTATAACATAAATAAAAACCGCAACAATATTATTTCAAAAAAATCCTTAATATTTAAAAGGCCTTTAATAGAGTTACAAAATGACATATAACTTATATTTTTAAAATAATTATTTTTTAACTTATCTCTATTTTAAAAAATCGTATTTTTCAAAAAGGTCATTTTTGGTACTTTTGACTATTTATAATTTTGGATTCGAAGCTTTCTAATGATATTCTATCAGCATACAAAATTTTATTGAAATTAAAAAGGTCGGGCCAAAATGTTATCGATCTGGTATGGAATTACCCAATGATGTGATAGAAACTTTTAGATCATTTAATATATAAAAAAAATATCATAGAAATATTATTAATCATCCATGGGAAGAAATTAAAATATACCATCTTTAGTATAAAGAATATTGTTCATTTTTTTAACTAGTTTCTATGATTTTACATATGATATTGTAAGGGCTCATCTCTTGGTTATAGTAATGTAACAGTTAGAATATGGCATGGTTCATTCTAAATCTAGGTATTGAGATAAGAAAATTAAATACATACTATGGACATCATAAATAGTAATAAAACAGATTTCTTTTATCAAAATGTCAAGTGCCATAACATTATTAATAAAATATATACCTGGGCCCATAACAAGGAGATATTAATACTATTTTCCTCTATTTTTAGCATTTAAATATTATAATTATATAATGAATTAATAACTAAGAAAATTCAAAAAAAAAATTAATTTACCACTATATTCTAGCAATGAATGGGGAATAAGATGTAAAAATGCATCTCCTAAAAGCCCACCTGCAGCAAAACCTAGAAGAATCCTTAAATAAGAAGAAGCTGAAGAGGATTTGGTTGCTAAATTAGGCAAACACATTATTATAAATATTGGAGCAATGCTTATAAGTAGAGTTGATAGCATTGAATAAATACAAATGTTCATATTTATTGGTGCATTTAAGTTATCTTTTATCACTTTATGATGATGGTGGTGGTGTGTATGGTCATCATCAAAATGAGAAGAGTGAGCATGTGCTTCAGCTTTGTGATCTGAATTCTCATTCATTTTTGAATGATCGTGATGAGAATTATGGGAGTGCTCATGATCATAGTGACTCTCTGCATCATTAGCCATTTCTTCTGAATATTTATCATGTTGAGGGTGATGAAAGTTATCAAATTTATGTGCTGCATGTCCTTTGTTAGAATTATCTTGCGAACTTTGTTTGCATTGACAAAAATAATTAGATAAGGGACAATATAATATTGCAAATATTAATATATAGTGTTTGTACATCTATGCAAACGTTTTTTATAATTTTTGGGTTGTTTCTTTTTTGTTAGAAATTCGCAAAAAAATGACAGAATCTCTTTCTGACATATGCTGAGAATTTTATAATAATTTTATTTTTTTTAATTAGATTAAATTCTATTCAATTTTATTTCTTAATATACTACTATCATATAACTATTATAATTGTATTAATTATTTTTCAATATATTATAAATATTACCCTTAATAAATTATATTTTAAAGAAATATAGTATAGATTTTAACTCTATTGAACAGATAGAGTCTTCTATAACCAAAAATAATTTTTTATCATAATTACCAAAACTTTAAAAAATATTTTTAAATGATAGTAGTTTTACAATATTAGAGAGTAGAAGTACATTAAAAAGATTAAAATGCAAATTAAATAAGTCAGAATCACTAAATTAAAATTAAAATAAATAAATATTTATATTAAAAGACTGAATAATAAGAGAACATTTTATATTATATTTCAAATAGAAAACCTAACACTTCTTTCCTTATCTATTTTATTTTTATAATATTTACAGTATAAATTTTGGATAAATTAATCACTTTTAATATAATAGACTGAAAAGTAACGGATTTTATGATTCAATTCAATGAAATCTTACATTCTGACTTTATAACTCCTTTTAATCGGCCGCAATATGGTATTCTATTTATTAATATTTGATTCCTTAATATGTATATAAGATTTAGCGAATAAATGTAAAACAATACCATCATTAGTTGATCCTCAACTTGAATATCTAGATCCTAATCCTGATATATATAAAATTTTCAATCAGTTTAACAAGGACTATTTTTATGGAACCTTAGGTGGTGTTGAAGTCAAATGGAGCAATAGAATGACACTGTAATTTATTTTCATTTTATAATAAATATATTTTATTTTAGGTGTGCAGGGTTATGTAGATATCATAGATCAGCGGGTTCTTGCAATGTTGTTTTAAGTCAACCATTATTAAAATTGAGGCCCAGAAAAGATTTAATCGAGACATTACTGGTATATAAACTAATATGTTTATCAAATTTAATTTTGTATTAGTATTCAACTTATATTATTAAATTATAACAAATATTTTTAGGTTATTTTATTATAAATTCTATTGATTATTTTCTATTTAATAGCATGAAATGATACACGCCTACCTGTTTGTTACACATAATAATCGAGTACCTTATTGAATTGCTATAATTATATATCAAAATAATATTAAGGATAGAGATGGTCATGGCCCAGAATTTCAAAGTCACATGTATAGAATCAACAAAATTACTGGAACTAATATTACAGTTAATTTTCTTTTTCAACTATATTACTGATATCTGGCTTCAATTTTTTAATAGTTTGAAATATTTTTAGGGCCCAATTAATTTTTTTTGAAATATCCAACTAGAATAAGCCAAATGTTTGGGATAGGGTGGGTTAGATATTTACAACAGCTCCTCTTAAAGCATGCTAGATCAAGCAAATCAAAAGAAGGGTCATTTTATGTCATATTGATCAAAATAGGCACATTTTTGGCCAACCCCTTTTAAAATTGTTAAAAATTTCTGGAATTATTTAGATAGGTAAAAAAAATGTGAAAGCTGTTTATTTTAGCTCACTAGCACACTTGTTACCCAAGATATAGGGTCTTAAAGGTGCAAAAAATAGTGACTTTCAAATCTGTAAAATTTTTATAATGCTTATATTTCAAAAACTATTTATAGTAATAAATATAATACAAATTATAAGTAAAAAAATCTTTAACGGTCTATAACAAGAAAAAAAATTTGCTGCCAATTTGAGTCTTTACTCATGTTTTTAAGCAATAAAGAGAGTTTGTTTTCAAAAAAAATTTTACCTTTTATTTAGTATAAATTTTTTTAAATATACCCAGGAAAATAAAATTTCAGGCTGGGACATATATTTTAAAACCAAATATTTGAAATTGCCATTATTAGCTATAAAAATAAAAATAAAATATTTAAAAAAAAATTTAGATTGGCCATGAAAATTAATTTTTTTTTAAAAAAAAAGGCAGGCTGGTATAAAACTCAGCAGGGCCAAAAAAATTTTGAAATAAAAATCCTGGCCAGGCCATGTAAATGGCACCTCTGCTAGTTTCTGATAAATATATATATAATATGAAAACCTTGTTAACACATTATCGGCTCTTTTGAAATATGCATTATTTTTTACCAAAAATTGACATTTTTATTGTCATAGAATAGATGGTGCTATATGATGCTACAAATTATGGTTAAAAATATGTTTCTAAATTAACACTAATAAGATATTTTTATTTCTTATACTAAAATATTTTGAATTTCTGGGCATCCACGTCAAAGAGATTAAAAAGGCCCATTTTAGGGTGACCCCTTTTAAAATTGTTAAGAATTGCTGGAATTATTTACATTGGCATAAAATAAGAAAGCTCTTTATTTTAACTTGCTAGTACACCTTTTTCCAACATACAGACCCTCAAAGGAATGAAGAATGAAAATTTTGACACCTTTAATTTTTATATCTCAACACTTTGTAATAAAATGATTGTAAATGAAGGAGAATATATAGTTCAGGCCGATTTTGTTTGTGGTTCAAGATTAAGTACAAGGATTTTACTACTGGAATAAAGGGAAAGTTACCATTCATACTTTTGATTAATTAAAACACACTTAAAATTTAAATCATGTAAGTAGTGTTGAACGGCTCAATTTGAGCCTATATTTAAAAATGGCTAACACAATATTTTATCCAAATAAAATAACGTAAGCCTGAAGATTTTGCTCATAGATGGTATAAAGGTGAACATCTATTATCAAAATCTTAAGGCTTTGACAATATCTTTCTAGCTAAAATCTTGAGTTAGCCTTTTTTAAAAATCGGCTCAAATCTAGCCATTTAACAACACTACATGTAAGTAGTGTTGTTAAAGTCACTTTTGAAACATAACTAGTTACATTGGCAAAAATATAACTAGTTACAATATAAGTTACTTTATACATCATTCATGCATTTTACTGAACGAATTTATTTAATATAAAAAAATTATGATATACAAATTATACATTTGTTTAAAAAAAATATTATATTTATGTAAAAAAATAAATAAACCGAAAAATATAGAATATTTACATTTACAACGAGTAAAATAATCCTATATATTTGCATTGAAAAAAAACATATTTATTTTTCATAAAAATTTGAGTTTAATAAATGTTTATTTGCTTTTAACAATAATTGGATTTCAAAATTTTTATCTAGGAGACGCTCTCGTTTCTCTCAAAATATGAGCTCTAGACTGAATAAACGCTCTACAAGAGCACTTGATGTAATAACAATATTATATTTAATAAAGAGTATTTTTAAATTATGAAAATCGTCATATAAAGATAATGTGCTGTTATTGGATTTAATAAAATTTTCAATTAATTCATCGTTATCAATAATATTCTGACGCTTTAAATAAAAAAGTCCAACATCTAATGATGTTTGTTGCTAACATGAGCCATTTGTGAGATTCACCTTGAGGTATTAAAGTATTTATTAAATTTAAAATTTCCATCTTTTTTGGTCTATTCTTTTCTTGTCTTATCCAAGGCCAATCAGTTTTAAATAGTGGATGAAGAATTGCAGCAATTATGTTATCATTATCATAAAGATCCAGAAGCCTATATCATTGTATTATTAATTTATAAATAATTATTTAATTTAAGTTACCTTTTTTTTAATACTAGCTAATAAAGCATCTTTTGAAGGTTGACAATATTTTAATTCTTCTACACCTTCCAGACAGATAAGTATCTGTGTTATTGTTGGGGTATAATAACCTTGATACATTTATTTTAGCTTTGGCTACTGGTTGCATAATCTAATTTTTTAAATTGTAAATTATTGACATTATTTTAAATTTACACTGCAATCACTATCTTGTGATGTAAATCTACACCATTTTAATTTGTCACATAATAAATCAAATTCCAACGGCATTTTATTTATAAGGGATAATATTTTAGATAAAGATGTATAAAAAGAGCCCCATCTTGTTACTATGGGATATGGCAGCTGAAAATGTATTCTCTTTTTAATTAACTCAGCTGATGGTCCAGATTTGTTTTGTGTATACCACAAACGTTGACATTTAGATATAGCAACCTTATACACTTTCCTATAATCCTCATTGTTTAAAAGTATTTTATTGGTATCTTGTGTTGCCACTAAGTTTAATGTGTGACAGGAACATCTTCGATGCCTGGGAAGGTAGTTGAAGTCATTTATATTATAATTGGTTAGCCCAGAGGAAGACATTATATCTTTTATTGAAATGTATTCAATATCTGAATCATTATCTTCCTCCATTAAAGATGGGGAGCTAAATATTCTAAGAAAAATAAAATATATAAAGTAAATTAGTTAGGCATACCGAAATGCTTTTGAAAAATTGCTTGCATTATCTATTATTGTGCAGATATTTTTATTTTGAATATGGTATTCCTTAAAAATAGCAGTTAATGCTTTGTTGATGACGTCATATGTATGCCCACCTTGTAGTCTTTGCAGGCTAAAATAGCTGAACGCCTCTCCAATTTAGCGATATCAATCCAATGTACTGTTACACCAATATAGGAGCTATTATTTATATAACAAAAGATAACCAAATGTATCATGTGCTTTAGTAAAAAATAAATATAATATTTACCGATTAAATGCTGTCCAAAGTCAGCTGTTGTACAAACAAAATTGGGCTCTAATAATTTTTCTATCAAAATATCATTCATTTTAACAAAATAATTAGTTACTCTTAAAGTTAAAGTTTGTCTGCATATTATCTTCATATTAGGTTGCAGAGTGTTTATTAGCTCAATAAAATCTTCATCATTACAGGTTGAATAAGTATGATTTCCATTTATTATATATTTAATTATTTGTGAATCAAATTTATCTTTGGCTGATAACTTTAGTATTTGATTTTCCACCAAAGTTAATTTGAGTTTGTTTTAATTTTGATGTGGGTGAATTTTTCTTATTAACTATGGTTTGTTTAATATTTATGGATTGGTTATAGTGCTTTCTCTATAGATTTATATTTTATATATATAAATATTTAATTAATATTAAATATTCTTATAAAGTTAATTCAATTACTGATTCTATATAATATTAGGTAAAACAAAATCATGTTACATATTAAAATTTATAACTATTTAAGACAAGTTTAAACTTACAGAGATATGCTTCCATAGATAAGCTGTGGATGACTTAGATGCTGAAATATATTTTTTAATTGGAAGACAAAGGAGACATTTCACAATAATATTAGTTGTATCCTTCTCCTTGTGGAATATGAAATATTTTTCAAAACTTGGCCAAGGAAGGTCCATTTTTTTGCAATTCTTGTAGAAGGAGAAGGTATAATTTCAACATCATCCTGAACTATTACAATATCATCCTCATCAGACTCAGAATTCATATTGTATTCTGTTTCTATCTAAGAAATAAAAAATAACACTATTAAAATATATTACTTATTCAGAGTATAAATATTGCCAGAAACTTGAAGGAAAATAATATGAAATATTTTGTACTAAATTTGTAAAGAAAATATTAAAATGAATTGCATACGTAGTAATAATATCGGAATCTCTCATTCATAATACAATTGCCATTCATTTATTCCAATAATATTTAGTCCACTACTTAAAAAAAAATTGAAAACTTGCAAAAAAATTCTTCCACTTTTCAGATGGAGCATCATCACAATACAAGAATCACAAATATATCATCAATCTTTGCCACCACGAAAATGATTTCGGAATAAAATCTGAGAGATATTTCTGGGCCACATCTCATGGCAATTTGGCATGTGATGGAGTCGGAGGTACAGTCAAACCTAGTGGCTAGATCTAGTTTACAAATACCTGTTTCAGAAAAAAAAACTTGTCATAAAGAATTTTTTGTCTATTCTAAGGAAAATATTAAAGGCATAAGATTTCTAATTTATTAATTATTTTTAATAAGGAATAGATTTCTCCTATATTATGGAAGATGAATATGAGAAAGAGCAAATAATTTTAGAAGAGAGATTCAATAAGGTTTGCAAAAATTTCTAATTTTTTCCAATTTCCTAAGATATAAATTTTATTCAAATTTTTATAGAATCGTAAATGTTAAATATATCATTTCACTTGAATATTAATGTGAATTTTATATAATGAAAAAATAAATGGACATATAATATGTATTTATTACAATCAATGGCTTTAATAAAAATGAATAATAAAAAAATTATACAAAAGATATTTATGATGTAAATATTAAAGTGTCTGGGGTATTTGGCCCCATTACCCCTAAGTGTAATTGGTATATTTAATAGAAATTTGAAAATTTTAGTATAAAAAGTGAAATATCCTGTTATTGATAAATTAGAAACAAAATTCTAACAATAATTTGTAGTTTTATATAGCCCCAAGCAAATGAAAATGTCCATTTTTAGTAAAAATGCATATTTCATAGTATGTGTCGCCAAGGTTTTCACACCTTATATGTATATTTATAAAAGGCCTAAATAAAAGGCAACCAAAATTTTTTTTAAAACCAACTCCCTTGCTTAAAAACAAGGATAAAGCTATGTAGGTAAACCCGGAAATAAAAGACTCAAGTTGGCGCCTAATTTTTTTCTCATATTATAGACCTAGATTTTTATACAATTTGATATATTATATTTATTTTTACTATAAATAGTTTTTGAGAAAAATTTTACAGTTCAAAAGTTTTCGCACCTTCGAAGCCCTGTATCTCGAGAACCAGTTGTGCTAGCGAACTAAAATAAACGGCTTTCTCATTTTCTTACCTATCTAAATAATTCCGGACAATTTAAAAGGGGTCGGTCTAATCGTGATCGATTTGACATGTAATGGCCCAGAATTATATAAGATCTGGGCGTGGCAAAAGGTTTAACTGTTTGGGCTGATCAATTTGTACACAAAATTTCTGACTAGGCCATCTATTTAAAACTTAAAATATTTGGCAGGGCCTCATAAATAACTGATTTTTCTTAATATTTTGATAAATACTATTTGAAAATAGTTACCATGAAAACTGTGTAACTAAAATACTAAATCTTTAAAATAATATACTTAATTCACTAATAATCAAACAAGTTATGATATGTTTCAATCCCCTACACATTACAGATATCTTACATAAATGATTTATAAAACAATTATTTTAGGAATAGAAAGTCAAAGGTCGGGACTTTTCGAAAATTTTGATGAGCCAGGCTTCATATTTAAAAATATATAATAGGTTAGGCTGGTCAACTTGTGTAAAAATTCTTAACAAGCTGGGCCAGGCTTTCCAGATATCTAAAATGTATATACCCCATCAAAGATATGACATATGTTCAAAATATAGCGTCCTTGGGAAGTGTACAGTCTCAGTATAGTCTTTTGTACACATTAAAAAAAGATAATTTTTTTATCCTTGTACATTTTTTTTAATGAGAAATAAATTTCTGAATAGAAATAGATTGTAGTCAAATTTGAAACTCCAACTTCAGAAGAAATAAAATGAAATATGTTCACACTCCCTAACCATATTTTTTAGAAATTATATTCAGTCTCAACTTAGAATCATGGATTAAGCAGCCTTTAATTATAGAAATATAAAATAAATAAAGTATTTTTATTAAATTAGAAATTTTTTAAAAAAGTTATAAAATTTATTTGCAAGAAAGTCAGATTTAGGGTGTGCCCATCTACAAAATTTACAATCCGATTAATTATACTTACAAAGTACGATTCGAATATTTGCATTATATTCGTATTCGATTCGTATTTTTGAATCGAATAATTCATTATTTGTATTCGTACGTATAATAAAAACATTTGATTAGTCGAATATTCGATTCGAAAATTAAATTCTTTAAAAATATTTCTAAAAATGAAAAAATCTTAAATTTTTTTATATTGAATAAAGAAAAATTTGACATAAGAAAAGAAAACATTATATATATGTAAGAATCATATTAACCCCGACAGATAGTGATGTAGACAAATTAAGCCACAAGTCTGAAAGGATAGATTTATATACTAATCAAAAATTAGGTCCGTATAGGGGACCAGGAGAGATTTCTTAGGCAAGGATATAGGAAGTTAGACCAAGCTTTGATTCTAGATTGAGGGAGAGGATAAATTGTTATAATTGTGGGAGACAAGGACATATGGTTAGGGATTGTTGGGAAACCCAATATTTCGAATGTGGAAAATTTGGTCATAAAACCCCTTATAGTCCGGAAATAGCTCAATACCCAATCACAAAAAAATTAAAATTTTTAAAAAAATTCTGGGAATTTTTCAAAATTCTAATTTATAATATCTATTTTTAAAAAAAAATCTGCCAGTGAAGTCAATACTACTTTATATCATCCAGAAGTTTATATAAAAACTAATATAGTTTGTAATACATTAAAAAAAATTTTTTTATTTAAAAATAATATAGATATATCATGACTTTCATAGAGAAGTAAATTCGTACAGAGTTCATTGGTGGAAATGTGATGGTCCATGCGTTTTCAAACATCCTTTTTATGGGATAGTAAAGAGGGCTATGAATAGAGCCCCAGGTCCTAATGATGATTGGTGGGCGCAACATGTGTTAACTTGTGGGGGAAATTTTACAAAATTGTGTGGGCCTGACCCTAAAATAAGAAAGCTTCGTAATGGCAAAAGGAAGAATATTGACAAAAATGGTAAATAAATTTTATATATAAAAAAAAGAAGTTAATATTTAGGCGAAAGCAACATAATGGTAAATTGGATTATTAAGCCAACTGTTCCAGCTATTGATTGCTCATCCAAAAAATCTGAGAATTCTTTTATTACTAATTCTTACACGAATAACGATATTCCCTCAAATTTAACTCCTGCCAAAAATTGTGATATAGATAAATTAAAACACTTCAATAAAAATCAGCGTCCTCCTTCTATTATCAAACTTATAACCGATTATTTCTCTCCGTCACCCACGAAATCTCACAATGCTCAATCATTTAACTTTGACATCTTTTCACCGGCACGGAAAAAATTAAAATTTAATGATCAGAGTATACATATAAATATGAATAATATTTTTTTATTATTATTACTAATGAACCCTGAAAATCAAACAAATTTCAAAGATCTGAACCCCGGGTCTAAACCCCGGGTTCGTACTTAGAGCAGGCCTGAGCACCAAATTGGGTTGTAAATTTTACGACCAAACAAATTAAACAACACTAACAAACCCTGAACCTAGTTCAGAGATATTTCGCTGAACCAGAACCCTTTTTCTAGAATAAAAGTTCACAGCCCTTTTTTTTAGAATATTAAATTATTTCTCACTACATTGAGATTAGAATTATAATTAACAATTATGCCAATTGATACAATGAATTACAAAATAGATCAAGTATTTTTTTATCTAATAAGTATAATTCAATATTTTCCATATAAAAATTATTTTTTTCGGAGAATCGCTAATTTATTCCTTATGCCATTTATGGTTAGTGAGGAAATGAGTAGATTTCCATTAATTACTTTAATTATATTTAGTTACAATTATTTTATTTTTTTAAAAATAACATAAAACTCAAGACGAATTATCAAACAACAACCCAAACACAAACGTTTATTATTTCGATAACAATAAACTTTTAAGAGAACTTCATAAGAAAAAAATATCAAGAGGAGCTAGTAGTAACAGTCATTCACACGTGACCACTAATATAGTGGACATTATCACGATAGATAGTGAAGATGATTAAACGAAACATAATTTAATATTCGAATTTTTAGCACACCATTTTATAAATTTTTATTTAATTTATTATAATAACATACTACTTACAATGAATATTATTAAAGAATAAACTACCTTTTTTAATCAATACTTTAAATTGATTTTTTTTTTAAAAAAAGGTCAACAAATTACTAACTAGACACCAGAGTTGTTAAACGCTACTTTTAAAAGTAGCGCGCTACCGCTATCGCTATTTGTCAAAAAAAGTAGCTCGCTATTAGCTACTATTTTTTAAAAGTAGCTTTAGCTACTTTTTAATTTTAAGCTACTTTTTATAAAAAAAATTTACAAACAAATTTTTTATTTTTTGCTTATAACGTTATTGTAAAGTAAATATATAAAAATCAACATTTATAAATATTAAGATATAGTTAGTTTTGATTATAAAAAAATTCATGTAATAAGAATAAATATTTATGGTAATTTGTTGAATTTTAATAATAAAATCATTTCAATATTATCATCCCCAAGTCTAGAGCGACGATCAGAAAGTATAAGTTTTGCCTTACTAAATAATCTCTCGACACTAGCACTTGAGGGTAAGGTTATTTACATATTTTTAATATAAGATAGATTATCAATAATTTTATTTGCAAGTACATCGTATGTCTGGCATCCTATTATCATTTTGAGGGCTAATTCCACAGATCTTTTTTTTAAAGTCCTAGAGTCTAGCCAATGGCCTATGATTCCCAAATAAGCTCAAAATTATTTAATCAGATCAATTTATAAATATAAATAAGTTTTTACCTTCTGTTATGTGTCCAACTATCTTCCGTGGTACATATATATGATATCTCTGATAACTCTACTATTAGAGCTTTCATCATTTTAAAGTTATCTGCTTTTTATTCATTAGTGTCTGGCGACATAAAATTGTTGTACCAGGGGATAGAGTTTTAATCATCATGGTAAATGATGGATTATCAACTAAGGACATTGGCTGAACTGTATAAATTAATCAACAATAAATTTATCAGCCAATTTCTGAGAAATATTGTAATTTGCATTATTAATTAATTTGGTGAATTGAATTAGTTTTTGGATGTAGAGTCGCTTATACCAAAATTATTTAGATGTTTCTCCATTTCCTTAAAACTCATGAACAGTCTTATAAAATAAATATTATTAGAATGTAAAAATGACAATTTACCTTTAGCTGTTTCTTGAGGTTATAGCTACTGGATTGATTTGAGGAAATATTTTTTTTTACATTTTAAACAAATAAATTTGAAACCAGTTTTGGTTATATATTTATTTTAAAAAATTTTCAAATCTAAGGAATGGGAAATTTGAATTATAGCTATTAAGAACATTTTCTTCCCTGGTATCTTCCATTTCATTAATATCATTGTCTCAATCACTTTCAACGATTTGGATATCCATAGGCAATGACATTTTAAATTAATAACACGTGATTTAGGTTTATAATACAAATGAGAATATAAATTACAAATTGAAATTATATTTCAATTTCAAAATTAAATAATAAATCATAAAAATTATAATTAATTATGATATTATATTATATTTAAATTTTTATGTTTATACTTACTTTCATTATATTTTTTATAAGTAGCGAAGTAGGGGCTACTTTCAAAAAAAGTAGCGCGCTAAAAAATTAAATAATTACAAAAAAAGTAGCCGCTATTAGCTATAGCTACCAAAAAAGTTAGCGCGCTACTTTAACAACTCTGCTAGACGCATATGCATTATTATAAATTATAACCCTACATTGGAAATATTCTTGCGCTCCTGATTAGACCCGATACGAAAACTTATTTTATGCTTGAAAATAAATTTTTTAATTTATAAAAGTTATCATCATCACAAATAGAGAATTAGAAAAGTTTGTTCGGACGCGTTGGCCGCCAATCCTTTCCAGCCCATCCTTGAAATCGGGCCGTTTTTCATGATTGAAAAATATAGTTATAAATAAATTGTATTTAAAAAATTTATTACAATACATTTTGTAGCATTTTTGCCTTTATTTTTATTTACAATTGCTTTTCAAATTTTTATCCTAAATAAAGAAATTTTATACTGCTATGTTAAAAACATGTTCAACTGGTGCGGATGATGGAAGGATAATATTATTAATAACATATTTTAATTGTGGTTAACTTTAAACACTTTTAACAGTGTGTAGTCCTAACATTTGCAATGGGAGCATGTGATTACTTTAAAAAAATTAGGGAAATAAAGGCGAATTTCTGATTTTTCAAGAATTTGAGAGGCAAATTGTTTAAAATTTATTCTAAGCATTTCATATCAAATACATTATATCTTTATTTCATAAATTAACTATTTAGGTTGTATAAAAATTAAAATATATTGCATAAAAAATGACGTAATTTATAGAATGCATTACATAATCATAAAAATAATAATATAATGCCTGAATCGTAAATCAAAGTTAGGCGAAAAAGAACTACAATATTCGCTACTAATCTTTTAAAACAATATTAGCACGTTTCCTTGATTGATTTCCGTTTGCAGACCTGTGACTTGTCAATTACATTCATAAGGTGGAAGCCGCCTTCCCATTCAGCCATACTACATGGAATTGTATTAATGAAATTTTAAATCATGGTGACATTTATTACTTTCATCATTATCAATATACCCTCATCTCATTTATTGTGAGATCCACATGAGCTTCAGTCGCAATTGCTCTTGCCTGTAACGATTATGAAGGTCTACTGGCCAGTTATCTTTTACTAAATATTCCTTATCAGATAAATTAGCTAAAAAGATAAAACAATAATTTAATATATAATATTTTTAATTAGTAGAATTATCGGAATTAACATCCATTAATTTATTTTGCATATTGTGTAAGGTATCGTTGATACCAGGGTACCTTCTGTTTTCTTTCAATTTTACTAATCCAACTTTATTTTCCTAAGCTATTTTTACATGTTCACATTTAGAAATATTGCACATTCATTTAGAAATTTTAACAGATTTAGAACCTACCAAGCATATCCCTAAACAACTTTAAAAAATGAACTGATCACTATAGATATTTCAACTTTAGTTAAACTGATTGTTCTTATCTAAAGAAGATGAATTTGATAATTCAAATAGAATATCATGAATTAAGGCGAGATCTGATAAAAACTCACCACTTTCTAATCGGGTGAACAGCCCGTTAAATTTTGCACTGTTACTAGAATTTTTGAATGCGCATACAGCAGTTACTCCAAACTGACTTAACAGTATGAGACTTCTAGACACCGATTGTACATCAAGTACCCTTCCAAACTTCAGCAAATGAATATCCAGTTCAGATGCTATTTGATCCAACGCCTTTTTATTTTTCTGGTTATATAAACCATTGTGTCAAAAGGGTTAACGCCTGGAACACTTTATTGCATTGGACATCGCTGAACGGTGATTTAAACAATACCAGTGTATGATAATTGGATATAATAAGGCGCGTTACTACGCCAGATTTATTCCATAGGTCATTTGCTTTTACAAAATAGTATGTAGTATTGAATATTATCGTAGTTTATTTACCAATGTGATTAAGGCAGTATTTTGTTTCATAACCTTTTTCAGAAGTTTTGTGTACATCTGAATTGGCATGTTTCCAAATTTTTTACGCAAATGTCATCATTTATGTGTTAGTGTAAAGGACTGCTATCAATTGTATATTGGCACCAATCACATGATATATGCTATCCTTGAGGGGAAGCAGGTTTACACCTACTAAACGTCGAGTCAACATGAGTACAATGAGATTCTCATATTTCTAATGAATATTCTTTAAGAACCAATTAAATTAGTTAAGAATTTGTTTTTGAATTAAAAATATACATTTACAATAATTTGCCACAGTTTGTTTATAAAATATTTTTACTTCATTATAATAAATTAGAAAGTAGACGCCGTGCCTCCTATTTCTTTGAAAATTCTGGCGAATAAACGCTAAATATTTTCTAAATCGGCCGAGGCACTGCAGGCTCCGGCCCCCTCCGACTACATATCTGTGTTAAAAATACTTAAAGAATTATTTTTATTATTTAAAATTTTCTAATTCGTCTTAATAAATTTGTATTATTATTAGTGCTGTAAAGTAACTTCAAAATGTAAAACCGTTACCTTTACTGAAGAAAAGGAACGACTCTCACTACCTTCAGCGCGTTTCTTGCTTCAATTTTTCTTAGAAAATATGGAAAAAGCATTTTATTGTATTATAAAATTACTTTAATTTATTTTTTAAATTTTATATTTAGGCCGATTTTTTAATTCACATCAACCACAAAATTCCTTCATTTTTATTTTAAATTTTCAGTCAATTGTTAATCTAATTAATATTAAGTCAATCAAAATATATGTAAATTTATATTCTTATTAATATTATAATTTATTTTATAAAAAATAAAATGCCAATTGAACATTTTATTCAGATGAAGATGAGTAAAGCCTGCCTTGGCTTTAATAGGAAACATTCCAGAAGAAAAATAAGAGTACAAAGTTTACACCTTATAAGTGTAAATTGTGTCCCAACTCAAATATTTTAATCTCAATTGTAGAATAAATATGGGCATCCTCCAAAATGCGCAGCCATTTTTAAGGAAAAAATTATCTGATTAAACTACTTATAACAAGATAGAACTCTTTCTATAACTTCGTGAAATTAATATAGTTTTATTAAGGAGAATGACCACAAAATTGACTAATCTAATGGTAAATCCAAATTACAAAGATTTCAGATAATGACAAATCGTTCATAGTTGAATATTTTATGGCTATGTATATGATTTTATAGGTTGAATCTGTTCCTTAGAACAAAAAATGCATTTGGGAAATCTTCTTATTTCCATGATAACTATCATAATATTTAAAAAATGGCATTAAATAATTTCGTTTTGTAAGCCAAATGCAATTCAGCTAGACAAAGATAAAAGGTATACAATTGAAGTATTGCTCACACTTTATATTTGGATAATATTTTATTTCATTTGAACAATAATTCACCCGCTATTTAAATCATATTGACCCTTGTAAAACTATATATCAACGAAGGAAGGAAGCTTGAACTTATTTACTGTTTGATGAAAGATCTTGACAAAGAAAAGGCAACTTAATTCCTTTAAAAACACGTATAAATTACTTTTTAATAAAGATTAAAAAAAATTGGATGAGGATTTGAATGAAGATTTTTTTGGCGATGAACTAACCTTTTCAAAATAAAGATTATTCTTTAATTTTTAATAAATTCCTCCAATTAAAAATTTTATTTATCCAATATGCAACCCTCCCATACACTGCGCCAGTTAACATGTGTTATCACAGCGAAAGTTGTG